TGATAGATACGCAGTACGTACCGTTTCCTCCTGGTGCCTGAGGTGGGACCCCCCATCTCGCTCCCACTCGCTTCCCACAGTTCCACTCTCGCTCGCACGAACCATACACGACGCCACCCCTCTTTTTTCTTTCCCTTTGGTCCACTCACCAATTTATTCCATCGTTTCTGCGCGTCTTCTCCCCCCTTGCGCTCCATCAATGGTCCTCCCACCCTCGGCCGCTTTGCTGCTTTGTGGGCATCTGCAGGCGTCTGCACCAGGCCTCTTTTTTATGGTTCCAAGGGACCCCCCTGCTGCATCCAACGCTACTGCACCAGAAGGTCGCCGCGATAAACTCCCACTTGCAAATCCCTCTTTCCCATCCCCGGTCAAATCTCACCTTCACTCGAGCCCTCGGTATCGTCTAATTTTTCTGTCAATTCCCTTTGTCTGATGGGATTGTTCACCTTTGCCGCTGTTTCCATACTCAGCGCAGTGCGACCAATGGAGGCATGTATTGAATAGTATCACTATCAACTCTCATTGCGACCCCAGGTTCTTGTAAATGATTTGTATTGATCTTCTCCTATCCTTCCAGATGGGCCCCATAGAATCATTCAAGTGATTGGTAATGGGAGGCGCCTCGCTCGCAAATAGCGCTTCCACGTCGTTATCGATCTGCTTCCACCTGGCCCGACATGAGCTTCGTGTATCCGTAGCGCACGTCGCGTACCTCAAAGTTCGCACAAGGCATGGGCGGACGGAGGCAGTGTGAGCGACGTTGGTGAGGGTGTGTGCCTGTGCCTTCTTCGATCCAAGTCTTCCAGGTCGTCGTCAAATCATGGACCCAGCGCTAAACGCCAAACTGGTGCCAGCCAACCGTTCTTGTCCACTGCGGAATAGAGGGGTGACGAACCAGACACAAGATATCGAGATGTCTTGGCTTACCTTAGATACATGGCATTGTCGACCGCGCGATCTCATCGAAAGAGCGCCTGGTGTGACAGAAGCCGCGCGCATTGGGTCCCTCGTCTCATGAGAAGGGGGGGGGGGGTACACTTGGAAAGAGTCTAAGAGACGAAGAACAAGTGCGTGACGGACGGCAAAAAAGGACCTGGCTAGACCTGGTGGCACGCCCGTGTCGACTTGGCCGGGCACGGCAGACGAGACAAGGCCGGCGGAGGGCAAGATGGGCAAGCAGTCCTGGTGTCCCGTACCTTGCTGTGAGCCTCGAAGTGACCAAAGCAGACGGAACCAGACGTGCTCACTGCTTAGGACTGAGATGGATGGAATGGAATCTTTACAACCACACCCTGGCCAACCCAAGCCAGGCTTCACCTCGTTCTCTCACTCACTTCTCACCTCTCCCGTCACCTCTAATTCCGTCCCAATGTGTGAAAGAGACTGAGAGATGAAGAGAGAGTGTGTGGCATGCCCCCTCCCCCAGTGCGATGAAAGAGGCACTTTACTGTCTACCCTAAAGTTACGTACCGTTTCTGGACGAAGGTGGATGAACGGATACAGCACCTTCCCTGCCCTGCTTGTCTGGCAGTGGGAGAATGGAGGTGAGTGTGGAAGGAGCCCAGAGGGAAGAGGAAAAAAATAAAAATAAAAAAGGCAAGGCGCGGGAAAGAGCGAAGGGGAGCTGGGAGGGAGTGGACACGAGAAGGCAGGGACGGCAGGGAAGGCCGATGTAAGGAAAGATACAACGTGTGGAGTGAGTGGGTGTACTGCGATTTCCGCTGTGCAGCAGCTGCAAGAGCAGGTACCCCGGTATGCTTAATCAGTACCTCAGCTTCGTACCTTACCTTCCGTACCTTCCCTTCCTCCTGTCTACCTAAGCACCTAGGTAGGAACCTTAGCAGGAGAACAGAGCAGAGAGCAGAGCAGAGAGCAGAGCAGGAGCACACACACGCACCCGCACCTGCCCCAGCACACATACCTAGCACCCAGCAGCAGCGCCAGGAGGCAGGAGCAGAGGCAAGGTGCAGGCAGGTCCTTCCTTCCCTACTACTGGACCGACCCGTTCCCCCATCTCCACATTTTGCCAAAAAGCCCCCCTTAGCAACAACGAAACACCACCCCATTTGTGCCCATTCTCTCATTCTCCTTCTCGAAAGACTGTCTGCTGTCAGTCCCGGATTTCTGCCATCTACCTCGTCGTTTCACCTTTAAACTTCGCAATCCGGCCTGTGCCGTACCAGATCCAGATTTCCACCCGTCGTTTCGCTCGCTGTCAAACCACTCCTTTCAATCCCTCCCTCACGCTCACGCACCTCGCCAAAATCAACCTCGCTGAGCCCTTTCCGAATCCGTCGAGACGCCAATCGCCCGGCTGCTCCTGACTGTTTCCCGGATCTCGCCCGTATCTTCACCTCAACAGCAGTTGCTTCAAGCCATCAACATTGCGCGCGAACAAGACCTGTCGAGATTTCAACCATCAATCAACACATCATCACAGCACAATGGCGTCCAAGGTTCGTCGTCTCCCTCGCCTTCGCTCTCGTCCTCGTCCTCGTCCTCGCATCGTCGCGCGACGTTCCACTCTTCGATCCTTGTCTCGTCTCCGTCGCTTCCATCAACGCATTGCTAACCCGTCATTCTTTCGCAGTTCTTGAGAGAGTACAAGCTGGTCGTCGTCGGTGGCGGTGGTGTCGGTAAATCTTGCTTGACCATTCAATTGATCCAGAGCCATTTCGTCGACGAGTATGACCCAACGATTGAAGGTACGCTGCCTCGATAATAATCAAACTTCCTACTGCTGGTCGATGCGACCGCGAATCAATCGCTCAAATTAACCTGGTTCTTCTCAACTACAGATTCCTACCGCAAGCAGTGCGTTATTGACGAGGAAGTTGCCCTGCTCGATGTTCTCGATACCGCCGGTCAGGAAGAGTACTCCGCCATGCGCGAGCAGTACATGAGAACGGGAGAGGGATTCCTGCTCGTCTACTCCATCACCTCGCGCCAGAGCTTCGAAGAAATCACCACATTCCAGCAGCAGATTCTGAGAGTCAAGGACAAGGACTACTTCCCCATGGTTGTCGTCGGCAATAAGTGCGATTTGGAGGGCGAGAGAGAAGTCACACGACAAGGTATGTTTTTTTTTATTTGCTGCGCCGCATTGCTGCATGATCGTGCCTCCAACATATAGGCCTCTTGTCTGATGGTTGATTTAATCGATTGAATTGATGACTGATACGTTTCTTACAGAGGGAGAGGCTCTTGCCAAGTCATTCGGATGCAAGTTCATCGAGACATCAGCCAAGTCTCGCATCAACGTCGACAAGGCTTTCTATGATATTGTCCGCGAAATCCGTCGATACAACCGAGAGATGCAGGGCTACTCTACCGGCAGCGGTGGCGCCTCTGGCATCAACGGACCCCCGAAGCCCATGGACGTTGAGGGCGGCGAGCAAGAGGCAGGCTGCTGCTCCAAGTGCGTAATAATGTGAGCGGTCTTTTTTCGACTTCGACCTGGAGAAAGAGAGAGCGCGCGCACAATGGGGAGAGGGAGCGAGAGAGCAAGAGGGAGGGGTTGTGGCAGACCAAGCGGCTAGAGAGTCGTGAGATACCTTGAGCCTTGACTGGGCTGGTGGATGCCGCTGGTTGTTGCTGAGCGCACGGTTTCTTCCCCGTCTGGACTTTTGAACAGGTCCAAGCAGGCCCAGCAAATGTCGTTTGGAGAAAGACATGTTGACGTGGGGGACCAATGATCAAAATCTTGTTTGTGCTGCATCGGACGGGGAGTCGGGTTCTGACTTGCTGCACTTTTTGGAACTTGTTCTTTTCAGGGCAACTTCATGGACATGGTCATCGCACACGATTGTACGTGGCAGGGGACAAGAGAAGAGAGTCCTGTTCACAAGGCTGTCTGGCAGTATCCTCATCGTGTGGTGCGGCGGCAGAGAAGAATGGGTTGCAGACTGGCTGGTCTGTCAGCCAGAGACTGTTGGCCGCAAGACCTTGTGGAGGGTGGACTCGAGATTCTTTACTACACACACTGGGAGGGTTATTTGAGACCAAACATCGGCTTGTCTCTGTCTCTTCTTTATATCGGTACTCCTTTTTTCTTTTCATACTGTAATTTCTTCTTTCTTCTGAGACACCGCAAGGTCTTTCTGAGGTCAGAGTCAGTCGCCAAGTCATACAGATTCCCTTTACGTCAGTTCATCTGAGATGTGATATCCTGCCCTCAATGTGATTTTTAACGGTTGAGCTGTAGTTGTGTGAGGATTTGTCTACTCAGGCTTAGCGTTTTTTCGCACTCATGGTTGTTGTTCAAGATGCTACTGCAACGTTTTACGACTTGTGATACCTCAAGATGTTGTGGCTGATGATGAAACGAGGTTATCTAGGAACAGGCTAGTCTGCTTGCTCAAGAAACCGAGTGACGGTAAACAGGTGAGCTTGAATATGGTTATTTGGATTGATGGATCACAAAGAGAAGACAGATCTCTGTCGGTAAGCGTTCCACCTTCCGAATTTCCGATGCCAATGGAATAAGAAACTCCCAATATCTTAGTTCATCGCTAACATGTCACTACATTAGGGCACAAAATCACAACCCGGAGCATATGCAACTTGCTTATGACATCCCTCAACAAGTTCCCCCTCGCGACTGCAACCCACCACGGAATACATAGCCCGAGGCCCTGAGCCGCCCTGTTGCCCCATGGGCCATGGCTCCTATCACCTTACATCACCTTAGACATGCAGATGCGAGTCGCTCAGAAACATCGCAGCCATCCCTCAAGTCTCAACGGTGTACCTCTACGTTCACTCGGCCAACATCTCACGGCCCGGAGCGGAAATGTCAGAATCCGAACATTTTCTTCTTCTCTCCATCAAACGAAACACCTGTAATGCGCCATGTATGCTCCACCGCTACCGTGGTATCGACCCAACCTCATTTCTATCCGAATCCAAAGCCAAATCGGAGCAAGATACCGCCAACCAGTACTCCTCCTTCACTGTACCCAGCTTTCTTCCATGAGACATCCAGGGCCATATTCGCCTAATCAGGCGTCCCATTCTATGTCCTGCATAGGCGCCTGCAGCCACGGCTCCGAGTAGAGGGAAACCGGATGACACCCGCCAATCCACTCCTCGACGCCCGGAACGAGCTCCTTCGGGCCGTTCACGCAGACGATGCCCTCACAATTCAGGCACACGTACAACACATCATCCATTATCCCGTTCTCCGACTCCGCCATGCTCCTGGCGAGATGGCCACCCTGCTTACAAAACAAACACATGTCCGGTCCAAAGTTGGTAATCGCCCACTCGATCACCATGGACACCTGAATCATGAGCCGCTGCGCGAGCTGGTACCGGTGATGCGAGCACAGCCGCCGGCCGAGCAGCTTCCTGGCGCAGAGGCAGCCAGTCACGGGGTGCAGCGGGTTCGCGAGCTGGCCGTAGGGCATCCTGCCGCCGAACCGCACGTCGGCCTGGCGCGTGTGGGAGCAGCCGCCGCAGGCGTAGTTGCGCATGTTGAGGAACTCCATGCGCGTCAGGGGTTGCGGGCCCTCGAAGAGGTGCTTCTTGGAGGTCAGGTCGCAGCCCTCGCAGACGACGTGCGGTTTAGGCTGCGCGGCGGCGTGTTCTAGGTTTTCGCAGTGGGCGCCGTCGGGGACGTGGGCGTTGCAAATGTTACCCGGTGCGCCGGGCTTGACCTCCTCGCAGGGCTGGTTGTCTGGTTGGGCGCCGTTTAGGAGGGAGGCGTCGGGTATGTCGTGGAAGACGTCGTTGGCCGGGCGTTTCCATCGTGCGAGAGCGGCGCGGAGTTGGGGGTAGTAGGGGCCCGGGTTCCATGTTGGCGGTCCTGGTGGCTCGCGGGGCGTTTCGGCCGCGTCTTGGTCTGTGAGTTCGAGGATGACGAGGGCGGGAGGGCCGATGCGGGCGGCGGCGGGGGTTTCGGCTACTTCGGGGGGTTGGAAGTTGCGGAGCTCGATGGGCACGAAGCGGCCGTCTCGAGCTAGTTGGGCCATGAAGTCACAGATTCCGCGGGCGAGATCGGATTGTTCGCGTTGGGGGTCGACTTCGAGCTGTGGGTGAATGAGGACCGGCTGTGCCTCTGTCATTTGGACCAGGTTTTCGGGGTTTATGTCGTACCCATTGCCCATCATGTACTGGATATCACCCTGGTTCTGCGCCTGGCCTTCGAACAGAGGTAGTTGGGCGTTTTGGTTTGGGCCGGCTTGGTTGTTGCTTGCGTTGTAGCCGCTTACCCAGTCGGAGAACCCTCCGCCCGTCTGATTTGCCGCGACGGCCGCGTTGTTGTCGCCGTACAGCATGTTGTTGTGTTGGTTACGGATGTGGCCCTGGTTGCGGTAGGGGAAGCCCGGGTCGTGGTACGCCATTGGATCGGGCGGTGCGTCGAAACCTTGCTGTCCGGCCGCCGCCATGGGCCGCGGCAGTGGGGCCACGCCGCAGCCGCCGGGCCCGTTGCCGACGACACCTCCGAACTGACGTGGTTTCTGTTGCGCCGCCATGGGAGCATTTCCAACTTTGAGGGGGCCAGGACCCGGAGCATTAGCCGGGTTGGCACCGGCAGCAACGGCGGCAGCTGCTGCAGGGTCCGTCATAACCGCGTACCTCGGTCTATTTGGCCCGAGGAGATTCTGCTCTAAACACAACGTCCGATCATCGTCAATACCCTTGGGGCCGTACCCGAGAGCCATGTAATACTCTGGCTGCTCCACGCCATCCGTTCCGTTGCGTCTAACCAATTCCTTGTTCATCACCCACGAATCGCAGTCCGCCTCCGCTCTGTCGTTGACGCACCTATCACACGGCCGCTTCCGATCGCAGCTATACCCCTTCTCACGACACCGCCGGCATCCGCTAAACTTCATACCCTTGCCGTTGGCAGTGCACTTCGTCCATCCAGACCACCCGATCCTCTTCTTATCGATCCAAGGCAGTTGCCGCGACGGGTGCCGGCTCCCATTCCCGGGCGTCTCGCACACCAGGCCCCACGAGGTACACCGCACGCACGCAAAGTCTTCCTCGTCGGTGAGGGACCGGCACATGGCTTGGTTCGTCGCGCAGTTGGTGCACCGGTGCCTGCCATCTCGGAGTTTGGTCCCCTTGTCGTAGACAATCTTGTCCCCGTCCCCGGGGGCCCACGTGTACGGCGTATCGTATGTGGCCGCCGTCCAGGGGTCCACGCATGGTATGTTCTTCTCGACGCACGACGTGCACTTGTACTCCCTCAGCCGGAAGTCCCGGATCCAGGAACACGGCTTCGTCTTGCCGGGCTGACACCCCTGACACATCTGCCGCCACCACGGCCGCCGACCCGCGGGGACGGTGCCGTCTCCGGGCATAGGCCGGTTCCACATCACCTCCGCCGGCTGATCCACGTCCGGCTTCTCGCCGCTCACCTTCTGCTCGTCGTACACCCGACATAGCGCCTGATCATTCTTACACGGCGTACACCCAATCTTGACCCGGTCGTCGATATCGCACAGCACGATCCGCCCGCTGCCCTGGTGCGTCTTGCACCGCTCGCAGACGCTCGAGCTCGTCTCGGTGATCGGGTACGACGGCCGGGAATTGGCGAAGCGCTTCTGCCAGTGTTCCCGGCAGAGGACTTTGCAGATGTGGTTCGGGTCGACGAGGGCGCGGTAGCGGGTGCAGCGGTGGCACTCAATCTGGTTGGCGAGGTCGACATTGCAGCCCTGGTTCTCGTGGGGGCGGGCGCGGCAGTGGTCGCACGTGTTGTCGATGGGGTTGTGCTGGCCGACCTGGGGGGAGTGCGTGATGCGCATGAGGGGCGGTTGCCAGGGGGTTTGCTGGAGTCTGGGCCTCTTTGATGCTCTTTGTCCTTCGTCTTGGTCTTCCTCGTCGAGGTGTTTGCGGGGCCGCCCGCGCTTTGCTGGCTGGGATGGGCCCGCGGGACGGGGCTGAGCCTGGTCTTGGGGCTGGTATGGATTGGCCCAGCGGAGCGGTTGGTTGTTGTTTCGATGGCTGTTATTCTGGTGGTTGTTAGGGTCCATGAACTGCGCCGGCGGCGGGTTGAAGTTCTGGTTCGGCATCATGTTCGACACCGGTAACTGGGCTTGCTGTTGGCCCATCTGAGGAGGCACCGCATTCGATGGTCCCACCTGGACAGGCACGTTGAAGCCGTTGTTTGGCAAAGCCGGGATCCGCGGGACGGTATAGTCCCATCCGGGCCCGAAATCACGGTCATGTGGCTGCTGTTGTTGCTGCTCCGGTGGCTGTCGGCTTGAGGAGCCATTGTTTGACCTTAGTGGCATTCTCTTTGGTGAATGAAATTTCTCAAGAAGTTTTGAGCAGCTTTGATCCCAAGTGGGCTCAATTGATGTAAGTCAGCTCGTGAAGATCCGAAGAGAGTGTTGTCTGTACTTGAGATGAGGTACGTCTTGCAGAGACTTGTTTCCGGACGAATTGCGAGAGTTTCTACCGAAAATTGTACAATGTCTGTTTCATTTATGTGGATGTGTCTTTGCATTTATCTCTTGTCTTCTGTCTTCCGCGGTTTAGCATAATCTGCCATCCCCCCTCTCGTTGAGGACAAAGAAGAGAGCCATTCGCAAGTCTCCCTTGCCAGCGATTTTCTTGCAGTCCCTTGTTGTTGCCGAGGCAGCTTGGGAATCATTGAGAAGCGCTTTGTGCTAATCTAGGCTCGAATCCATCTTTCTTCCTAAACTCACAATAGTCTCTCTTCACAATTATTCGAATGAGTCGAAAAAAACGATGCATTCGGACCGAGAGACTTCTTTGATTCTGCGTTGAGGAACAACCGCCCCCAAGCCGATTCCCTCCACATCTTCTCTTATTTCCATGCTCCTGTCGTGGGCAGTGCACACTTGGATTGGTGCTACCCGTCACGGCGAGCATTCGAATATTCGAGCTCGAATAGCCAGCACTCAGGAGAAATAGCAACGGAGCATGTGAAAGAAGAAAACACGGCACCAAAGTCGTTCGCAACCCGTAAGGCAACCTGCGAGGCGACGACTGGGGGCTGAGTCGATTGCCTAGGATCAATGCAAGCTGCGGTCATATTAAGCCACCCATATTACACGGAAAGGAGCGAATGCTATCTCATTGGGACGATCAGCACTGTAGCGCAGGAGATGTGCTGCAGTCGCCACATGTATGGTGCTTGGCAGTGGTGACCATCTTGCTGACCGCAGCCATGGCCCATCGCTCATAACCCCGCCGTCCCTCGGTTTCCAGACCTATGTATGCCTGAGTTTTGACAAAGCACCAACTTTTGCAACATGGAGGTAGTTTCCGCAGCCGCCAGCGTCGCGGGCCTGCTGTCTGTCGCTGGCCATGTCCTCAATGGGCTTGTCAAGCTCAATGCCTTTATCCAGGACTTGAAGGAAGCAGATGCACGTGCGCAACGGCTGACTCTGGAAGCTCAACTACTCTCGCAGACAATAATTGACTTCAAGTCTCTGCTCAACTCGTTGGACGAAAAGGCGCTGGATAAAAACCAAGTCTTTTGGGTCCAGCACTTTGCCAATCTCTCTTCCCGTCTCGAGGATTGCGATCAGGATTTGAATACCTGGACCGAATCTTACCGACCCGGAGATGGGCCATCTTCAAAGCGCCAAAAAATAATCGAGAGAATATCAAACAAGAGAAGCCGGGAGATTTCTGAGATGAAGTCTAAGTTGGCGCGCCATCGGTCGCAGATTGTTCTTAACATGAGCACTATCAATGGGTGAGCTAGATCTGCCGTACGCAAATGAAATTTTGAAGCTAAGCTATCCTGTTTCAGATGGATGTCTCTCTCAGGATTAAGAAGAATTACTGCAGTCCATGAAGATGTAAGGAAGCTCACGGATACCCATATCCAGATGGAACACCAGAGAATAGATCGCCATCAGCTTTTCACGGAAGAAACAAGTAGAAGACAACAAGATCTTCGAGATATGATTTTGTCCGCTTCTCAAGCTACCAAGGAACATTTTACATCGGAACAACACGAAACTCGGAGTCAACTCTCTAGACTGAGCGACAGTGTATCAAGCATGGCCGAATCTCTTCAACAGCTCGTCACTCCACCCTTATCGCAAGTCCTCCCACGGCGTGGGTCGAACAATCTCCCGCGGAGACCGTCCTTATTTTTGACCTCCGAGGGGACTAGAAAACGGCGATATTCAGGCCTTGAAACAGTTTCTAGCAATGAGCATCTGCAGTCCAACTTCATTGGCAGTCCGATGGGCTGGACATGTGCCCAAGCAATAGGCATTGACGATTACTTCATCGAAACCCTGGAGGACCAGCATTTGGACCAAATGAGATGTGCCTTTTGTGACCAAGTCTTTGCAAATACCGAGTCATTCGAACGATCGAAACACGTCGTCGATTCCCATAATTTCGCAGGGTGCGATCAAGGAGTATGCTATAGGTTCGGCATAAGCTTCGGTTCTCACTTGGAGAAACACCATGCAGCCAACCCAGAGGCATTCTCCAACAACATTGCGCATTTTGAGCAAAGATTCCTCCAGTCAACATCGACGGTTCAGGACGAGAGGATAAAGTCCCTTTATGGTGAACCACAACAACTAGAGACGTCCACGGCACCCCTCATACTCGAAACCCAGCTGCGGTCTTTGATAACCGGCTTTGTTGGGCTGCAAAGGTCGACCTCGCATGGACTTAATACTTTCCATGACATGCGGCAAAACCTGGAGACGCTATCGAATGCTGCGTATTCTCCAGGGTCTTCCCTCGAACTTGCTGTAACTCTGTACCAGGCAGCCAACCTGGCGGAAGAAATGTCTGTCGGCTTCGACAGGATATTCCGGAGTAGATGGCTACCGAAACCAAAATTCTTTTTCCGAAACATTCCTCCATCCGAGGAAAAAGATGGCAGACAGCGCCCCGTGCACCTTGGTAGCTGGTTTCTTTCGTTTGACTCTAGAGAAAGGGCTTCAGTCGACTCATACAAGTCTTGCACAGAGTGCCAAAGCGGGACGAGGTACTCTAATCTGAAGAGCGCATTTCAGCATCGTGGCAGATGCCACCGAGGAAAGCACTGCATCGTTGAATTTGAACGGGCGTGCCCAGACACATCTACTGAGTGGTCTATGCTTGACCCTGTATCGAAACCTTTCCGCCTGTTGAAGAAGTTGGGAGCTAGTACATCGGGTAGAGACAGGGTCCATCTTTGGATGTTGAACACACTTCACAAGTCGGAGCATCTCCTGATCATATTGAGACATAGCGCCTTCTTCGGTGAATCGTCGATATGCTCGACAAAAACTGATGACGCGACACAAGTGGACCGGTGTTCTCCATCGTGGGGTGACATATGGAGTCGTGATTTGCTTGGGGCTTTCGACAGAGAGGAGGCAGCTCTCGACGATCATGTCAATTCAACACAGTCTGATGGGGCAGTATACAGCCGTGATTATGAGGTCTCGTCGGAGGGTAACGACCAGAATGGCGTTGACGTAGAGACTAGGAACCTACCTCTGCGCTTTCTCGATGCAAATTCGCCAGTGCTTTCTATAGAGGATGAAACTGAGCTCTGAATACATCTTCATTCGAATCGAACTCGGCTCGTAATCTGCGGACTAAGCCCGGATGAGCCCAGTGATGTTGTTGACATGTACCTATTTAACGAAGGCGAAAAACAAAGAGTTGAGATTGAACGGTACCCAGTTGTACCAGTAAACCACAGGATCTTGATTCTGACTGTAAGCATGCAGGGCACGCCACAAATCGCCATGCACCAGGATGCTTGCTCTAAGTGTCTAAGGCCGAGATGTAGAAGAGCGGGCGGCAAGATATTCTACTTCATAACGCTTCTCAAGTTCCAATTCTGCCTCTACCGCTACCTCTACCAGTGCCATTGCTACTGCCTCTTCTATTCCCTCTACTAATGCTCTTATTATCGCTTTTGCTTTTTCTATTGCTACTCTTTTTGGGTCGCTTAGGGAGTATGTTCTCTGGTGAGTATGAATTAAGTAGGTAGCTAACGAAAGTATGGATTAATGATAGTAGCAATAATAGTTATAATATGAAGCAGGAGCTCATTATGTGTATACTATTAGTGACGCTTAATTTGACTAGTTAACAGATCTCAGAGATAGGTGATAAAAACTTTTGGCCGTCTTGAAGAGTGGCATTTAGTTATTTTAGGCCAGGTGAACTCGTAAAGGTATACCTAGTAGTTCTTACCTTAGAACATATAGTCTTTCCACTTTTTGCCTCACAAATAGAAAAACTCGTTACAAGATATGTCTAGGAACATCTCTATAGCCTCTGTAGGATATGGTCACAGTCTCTTCCCTCCTTCAGTAAATTTATTATGGATTCAGGCTTTTCTCTGCCCTTCAAGTCAGCGTTAATGCATGGCATGATGACGCCACGCACTTATTTTATCCTGCTTACACGACACTTGGTGAAACGACTTGGCTCTCGCACTCAAAGGCATGTAAGGATGCATGTCTTAAGCCGATCTGACTGGTGCCACTTGAGAGCCACGTAGGTAAGACAGGGACGCGTAGGCTGGCGCGAAACGTGTTCAGATAAATGCTCGGTATTTTAGGACAAGGCTAGATGCTTGGCCCTCTTCATTTGCTATTTAATTCAGGATGTATTCACTCGTTTTATGTTCAAGTATTGTCTGTAGTATCGATCGATTCTCCTACCGAGGCACTCCATCAGGATCTCACGGATCTCTGACTCTATTCTTGATTCAACTTAGGCTTCAGTAGGCATGAGTCTACAGAAACCGACCGGCTTCCTGCCGCGGTCGACGTGGAACTGTTCTGCTGAGATAACTGCAAACCCTGATGTTAGTGGAATTGGAGTAAGAGCTGCGACAAAATTTTGGTGTTGAGACATGAAGGCTAACACCACCAGGTGATCGTCGGTTTTGTTGGGACAGGTGGACTTATCATCCTGCTTCTTACCGTTCATTATCTTTTTGCATACGATCCTACATTGGATCCGTTCCGCACTCTCAAGCAAACAAATGCAAAGACGAGCCGACCTAACTCCATTGATGTCGCCTTCTTGGGATGGTTCAGGGGACATATGACGCATTTTGGGTTCCAGCTTACTTGGCTAGATGACGCCAGACGTGCTAAAACCTTAAGAGACGCTTTTGACAAAGTAAGAGTCTCCCACTCGTGATGAAAGCACAATGTCTGAGCCTGTAATGTGATACTAATCACGGAATCAGTCCGTCCTAGCAATGAGTGATATCCAAATCATCACTGGTCTTGCGATATTAATAAGCGGAATCAGTGGACTTTTCGGAACCTTGTCAGGCTACCAGTGGCTAATTCTCACCTACACGGCGTGAGTAGTTATTATACTCGTGGTCTAAGGCTCAAGCAGAATGCTGACTGGCTCTTGTAGATGGTTCTCAGCAGTCACACATCTAGGAGCCCTCACATATCTTCGAAATTACTACATCAATCGCGCAAATCAATGTATCTGGAGACTCGCTCTAATGACTGTGGTTCTGGTCATGCTAATAGCCGTGATGATCATTGGAGTTCCCATCAGAGCAGACCTGGAACAAGGTCATGCCCCAGCTATCTGTGTCTTGAGTCATAGAAGGGAGAAATACGTTGATAATCTTCCTGAAGTAGCATTATCAACATCAATCTCGGTCTTGATGATGGCTCTAGGTTTCGCATTCCGGGTTTTGAAAATGGGCCGCTGCACATCTGACCGATTCCAGATATTCCGGGACAAGTACCGAACAAAAGTTATCAATATCGTCAAGTTAGACAGAAAGCCTCCTCAAATATGTACCGGACCATGGGTACACATGACATTTGTTGCAAAGCCGTTGAGTGCGTGCTGGCTGTGTGGCCGAACGTATTTGGAATTCTTCAACTCAATTTTCGGTGAGGTTCGTGTGGTCGCCCTAATCTCTCCTTCAATATTGTAGCTGCAGCAACTGACTCTTGTAGCTATTTTGGCTCACCTTTATGGCTTCTTGGGGGCTTACCCATCTGATTTATTTCCGGACAATTGCGGGTCGAGAGGCGATCTGGGCTATAGAACCTATACAGGATGGCGATGCTACGAGCATCCAGGACGCTTGGGGATTTGGGCAAGTGACAGCCGTAATCCTATTCGCAAGCCCGATCATATTCATTGTGGAAGCATTCTGCAGTATTGGTAGGTCTTTGAAGTCTTTGAAGTTTTCGATGTTCATTCTATTCAGGCCTGGAATTCATTAACACGATTGGCATTGGTCTTGGATCACATAGGCTCACAAGAACCGTCTTCACTGCATCAAGATGCTGCTACATCATTTCTACAATCCTCACCAGGAGGGTCACGACGAGTCACCACTGGGTTGCCTGAAGACACCATGACTAGATCTGGATCTCTGGAAACTGAGCAAGTCAAAGAATTGGCGCGGAGTCTGCAACCAAAGTCGCACATGGAGTTGGCTTCCACACGAATCTCTTCCTTAACCATTATTATCTTCAACATTGTGTTTGTGGCTCACTTACTCGTGTTCTTCTTTTATAGCCCTAAGACCGGCGGGGTAGTCATGGCATCTTCCAGGCTCGGTGCATGGTATTTATTATATCAGCCACTTCTAGTTCATCTCATCTACCTGATGGGCTTCGAATTGGAGCCTAGGATCAAAAGATCTGAACTAAGGAGATGGATTCACGTTGCTTGCTTCATCATCTTGATTTTCTTCTCTTACTTGGTCACGTCTGGAATTTGGTCGGTCGGGTCGTGGCTCAACACGTTAACTCCATTCGACTATGTTTCATCTTCAATTTTACTGGCCTTTTTCTTTGGATATGTTCTATACGTTGGTTTATCATTCGCAAATAGTAGATGTGCAGTAGCTTCTTCCCAAGGGGTCTAATCTTGAGCTTTGAGATCTCTTTGAGTCGGAGTTCGACAACTTCAGGCATCCCCACATAAATGAAACTGGCAAGACTCTTCAGAGGGCTCTCTTTCGGTTTTGCTCTCATTTGGCAGAGGTATGAGCTCGCTTGCTGTGAGACCTTTAGAAGTTTAGCTCTATCAAATGACCTAGCTAATTATCGGAGAGAAGCATAGGCGCACCCTGCGCGTCCGATGCCCGTTCGAAAGTCCAAACGCCCGATACTTCATGTCACGTCAACTGGTTTTCATTGCCCATTGTGCATAGCAGACTTTTGGACATAAGACAGTTTACTCGAAGTAGGCTAACCATGGTAACTAAAAGGAAACTCCATGTGGAGTATAAGTATGGGTCCCGGCAAGACCTATATGAGGCAAATTGTGTCCATCGTCACCAACCCAGCAACTGTCACTGGATGATCACATCCACCCATCCCCGATAGTCTAGTGGTGAGGATATCTGCTTGTCACCGGGAAAATCCAACGATTTACAAACGTCAATGAGACCTTGTTTTTTTTTTTTTTTTTTTTTTTTTGCCGCCGTGTTGTTGGTTTAGTGCGAACCATGGCATTGTTGGCATGTGCTGTGACTCGACTCCCCATCGAGATGCAAGATGGAAACCAAAATCGAGATGCTCCCCGACGAGAACGTAAGCTGAACGAGAAAAAGGACAAAGGCGATTCCCCGTCGAGGAGTTCTTTTTGCTTTTTGAGCGATGTATTGACCATCCGTACTTACCTCGATGTGGTTCCGGGCTTTTTGGCTCATGGGATTGGACAAATGCCGCAATGAGCCTCTGGGAAGAAGACACTCGGCCTTGGAACGACCACCTAACATTGGAAGGAACTAAGAACATTGCGTTACTTGTATGATCGCGTGAGGGCTTATCTTGGAACTGCTCTTTCTGGAATGTTGTTGATATTCAGCTTCATCTCGAGTCTCGAGACTCGAGAGTGGTCCAAATGGGCCGTGGCATATCCACATTGCTACAGAAATTCGACAGCAAGCTCGAGACCAATTATTGTCACGGTTAAACAGGAAAGAGCTCATCGGTGGATCAGGTTGCGGCTCACACCTTCTTCATCGCGAGGCTGGCTCTTTGGCCGGGCATATGCGAAGCTATTCGGCTCTTTTCTAGCAGAGGTACATCACACGCACACTTTCAGAAAGCTTTGGAACGTGACTCATTGAGATCGGGCGTGATCTTCTGACTGCAGGTGTTCCAGGTACTCGTGACAACATTCTCAGGCTTGCTCCACCGCTTGAGAAACGTTGACCTCTAGCTTGATTCTGCTCTTTGATCTGACTTACATCATATGGAAAATATCCAACACTGCAAGATCATCTGATAAAGTAGTTAAGATAATTCGTTCCTTGGATGACAGTTTCAGCCTTTCCGTTCTGACCCTTATCATACTTGCGGCGGAGTATAGCTTGCACAGTCTTGTCGACTATGTTGTGGGTTGTGTTCTTACCCGCCGGTGCTCACATAGAAGTAGTTCCGTCGTCTCAATAGAGTATATGTCATCATTATGTTCATTCAAAGTTAAAAGATAAATAGCCCAACCGAAAACAGAGCCTTGCCCGTAGAGATAGTTTACTTCCTGGACCCAAGATCATCCTCACTCTCGTGAAACATACTCCTCCTCAAAGTCGCAGTACCAGCCGGACTAACCGGCAACATCCTCGCACTAATATAATCATCACCATCCGATGCTCCAGTCGGTGGACTCAGAGGACTCGGATGTCCGGGCGTCGGCGTCTCCGGCACCGTCTCCGGGATGCTACGTGGCTGTTCCCGAGCAGCCGGGCCATCTTGTTCGCCACCCGACGAGGCAGAGCTGACGGTCGCTTCGCTGATATGCCGCAGGTGCCGTGCATCCTGGTCGCTGAGGCCGGAGACGTCGGAGCCGACTCGTCCGGTAGAAGTAGCGGGCGCAGCGTTGCTGATGGGCGGCGATGGCGGACCTGGGTCGGGGGATTGGGCGCGGGTCTGGTACCCGAGGACGCCCGAGGAGCGGGAGAGCGATGAAGCGTTCTCGTTGGAGGAGACGGAGGCGTAGTAGGATGACTGGTGTGTTGTTGCGGGGTTAGATGTGCCACCGGTGCCAAAGTGCGTGTGCTTGTTGATGATCTCGATGGGCGTGAGACCTGTACCGTGCAGTTCTGGCGGCCGCGAAGTGTCTGTTCTTGGTTAGTACTTGTTCAGGTAGAGATTTCAAGAATGTCTTACCCGGTAGCTCTGCAATCTGATTGTCGGCCATCTCGTGATGCACCTGTTGGGGTACAGGCGATGCCGCTGGGGCAGGGGGCGGCGTCCGGACCTCAGCCATATCTTGGGAAGAGGCTTCCTCGGTAGTGACGGTAGGCGCCTTGGCTGGTTCGCTGGGCTGGCCTCTGATCCAGGAGATGATTCTAGATCCATTGTCGTCCGTGTGTGTCGCCGTTCCATTGCCTCTTCTGAGTATTCTGCGACGACGCCACAGGCAGAAGCCGACGAGGATGGCAGTGATGAAGACAAGGCCGAGAACGACGCCGAGGACAGGGGCAACCCATTTCGGGGTTCCTCCGCCGCCGCCGCCGTTGTTGTCTCCGCCACCTGTGACAGTTGGCCGTCCGGGGTCTTTGGCTTCTGTGTATGGGTACCATGTATTAATCTTCGAGGTAACATACGGCGTCGCAAAGATGGATGCCAGTCCTTGGTCAGACCAGCCGGACGGCTCTGGGTTCGTCTTCGTCGCCGAGCCCTTCTCATTGCCTCCAATCTTGCTTCGTACGGCGGTGGGGATGGTGTAGTTTGACCATTTCGTCGGACTGTATCCATCAAGCCACTCTGCACTTGAGAGATTGAAGACCTGCATGATGCCTCCTTCAAGGCATGGTGGAGCTCCGCTTCCAGCCATCGCCGCATAGCCGCCGACGACCATCATCTGATCAGGGTAAGGCATTACGCACTGATGACCGGCACGGGCGTGCAGAGCTGTCCCCTCGTAGACCTTTGTCCACTGGAATGAAGGAATTGAGAGAACCCAGACGTCGTCACTAAAGTCTTCTTTGGGGTGGATTCCATCGTAGCCGCCGTAGTAGTAAATGTTGAAACTGGAGTAATCCTGAGCGGGCGCAAGCACAGCGCAGCCTCGAGTAAGGGCAGGCGGTTTTGTCCCGTCAACCTTCTGTTGATACCATTTATCACCGGCTACGTCGTAAATGTCAATGGTTTCCATGAAAGCAGGACTTTCACTTGCCTATGAAGGATGTTAGATGGATAGAGTAGAAACTGCAACCGCAGGACTCACGCTCTTGACAGCGTCGTCGGATTTATGACTGGAATTGACATATTCGGGATAGGTCACCCCGCCAAGCACGACAAGGATACCCTCTGCGCCAACTGGAACCCAGACGACCTCAGGATTTGCCCTGGCCTTGATACTACTTGGCAGTAAAGTCTTGTTGGAAAACTTCTCGAACATTTGGGTGGACATGTCGAGGGTGATGAGGGTATTGGAGGCGTTGACAGCGTTCAGAGAACGATTCGTAGTGCTCTGATACATGTCGCCCCATAGAGGCGACCGCATGCCGCCAACGTACCAGGCCTTATTCTCCGAGGGAGCACTGGCAGCCCCCCCATGGGCAACATATCGAGTCACGCCGTTGTCCAAGGTTCTCTGATCACTTCCATTGTTGAAGGCGGCCTTTTCTGCGCCGTACTCGTAGAGACGCCATACTAGTGCCTTGTCGCCGGGTGGAGGATCGTAAGCGTCCGTTGGTTTGGCAAAGACACCTCCGTACAAAAAGAACTCGGCATCATTGTGAAGCAGGGCACCATCGATAGTATTTGGGGCGAAGCTGTTGGCATTACCACTACCTGAAGGAGCCTTTGGGTGAGTTTCGATGAGCTTAGTGATGTTTGTTGTCTTATCGAAAGGCTTGCTGAAGTTGAGTGAGTACATGAGACCCAGGGGGTTATCTGAAGATGTCAGAAGTCGATCGCAAGTGATGCCAAAATGAACTCACCTAGGGTCGTTGGATATCCAGTCGACCCGTCCCCATATGTTGGGGTCCAATACAGACTTCCACCATCTAGCCATAGCGTATCTCGAATGACGGCAGCTTCAGTCTTGTCAGATGTTGCTAACTCGGGACGATTCGATATTGCAAACCTCTTGGTGCGTACCAATAACACATGGACGAGCTCACTTGGCCTTTCTCAAGATCCCACCCATCATATTGGGCAGTCACGAGGCCCGCGACGGCCACCAGCAAGGCGGTATTCACACAGACCATTCTCTCGACAGCGCTGTGATTTGGCTGATGCGGAAACGCGTTAGGAAGAAATTCAGGCCGCCCGCTACTGTCTCAGCGCATTGCGGCTGGAGGTGGTGCTTATTTGGGGGAACCGCACTGCGTTACCAGGAGCGGTGGCAACCTTTCTCGAAAGCAGTGGAGGGAAAGTGTCAGAGTATGGGAAACATAAGCCCGGCTGGTTTGGGGCGGTAATGACTGGCGAAGAGAAGGGCACACAATCCGGAGGTAGGGGTGTTGAGGCTGACAGTGTTGGCCGTGCCTATAGTCAAGGGAGGATACCACTGGAACAGCGAAGTTGACCTCTTTGTTCGAGAAGAGTGTGTCGAATGTTTGAGGCGGATGTTGAGAGAGCACATACACACTTCGATCGACCCCGCAATGTCGCTAACTCGGTGTGCTCAAAAAGACGAACCGATACGGTGGCAACAAGGAACTCTATGGGACAGGGCGGACAGAGCCAACAAGTCGGCAGGAAAACTGATAAGATGGTTGCCACTGCAGGATTTTGCCCAAGTGCTCACTAGAACTATGTAAGGCTGGGCCGCTGGAATACCATGGCTGGAGCAATGCCTGAGATGGAGGGTGTATGCAACTCATCGGACACCACTCTAGACCAGGCTCGGCGGTCCTTTGGAAGAACACTTGCACAGATGGGAAGCTCGTACCGACTCATAAGAGGATGGGAGGTATGTGACGAAATGATTGGTGGACAGAGAGGGGCATTGGATATCTTCGTCCGCGGTAGAGAGTTGTGCATCTGACAGAAGAGTGCTCAGCCTCATCACCCACTAAGAGCGTCGTTGTGATTTCTAGCTACATTCAGCCCAGAATATACGCCAACGAACTACAGGGGAAAACAAGGTCATCGGAGAAGACACTTGTCTTACCGGCGCAACCTCTGATTGTCAAAGATGCTGCTCCGAAGTCCAAACCTCGTATGAATATTCGGGGCGAAGGCAAACTGCACAATTACAAAAACTAAAGGTGTGTTGCAATCAGGCTACGACTTGGAACACAGCAGCAACGGGGCCACCATGTGGGCAAGCAATACGGTGTTCTTGGCATACGGTGCATACACCGTCCAGCACCACAAGCCTTCCAAGACCAGACTCGGACAACAAACACAACCCAAACAATGTGTTATGAAGTGGACGACACAACAAAGACACGCCGAAAGGAGAATTCTGGGTGCCGAATTGCCCCTGTGATGTTTGCTCAAAGTTGTTGCAAAGCATGCTGAACCTTATTGTCAGCAAAAGCCCGTGTCTTTACTCGTAGTGGTAAGTACGCCGAGGCGGCAAGGTGACTCGTTGATAGTCCGGATAAACTTGCGGTTCCAGCGGGACACTACATTGACGGAGGTGACATGATTCGAGAAGGTAAGCTACGAGTAGGTGCGTAAGCGGGAGAAAAATTCTAAATGCAAGTTGGACGCAGTAACGTGCCGTCTGTGGCTCTGATCACCACGTTGGGTACAGCGGTCCCGGCATCAGCTTGCATAGGAAATGGTGTGGTGGCAGTGGTCATTGCAGGGGTTGAGCATCTGCAAGTCAGTCAATAGACGGGTTGCCAAGTTGAACCTGCGAGGTCTGGATGGGACCAGCACAGTTGGATGCGGGAGCGGGCCAGGATCGGGGACATGGGCGTTCGGATGAGCTGCTTCGTTCGAGTCTCCAGCCTCCCAGTCCAGGCACGGATGAAGGGGACGGCTCATTGAAAAGAGAGAAAAGATGACGGTGTCAGCCCTGTGGGATTGACCAAGTAAGACTGATCCTTGTAATATCGACTGTCGGTGAGAAGGATGGTTGGTGTCTGAGCCTCTAAGGGCAAACAACGACCCATCATCGGATGGCCCGAATTCGAACGAGTTTTCTCATCGCACAATCAAAACGACGACAGTAGAGCATGAGAAAGCTCCTGGCTATGCTTTTCACCAAGGGAGCTTATCAGGAATGGAGTTGTAGCCTAGAGACATACACGATGCCGACTTGGCCGTTGGATGGAAACATTGTTGGTGTACGGAGGGGGAGGTGAAGAAAGAAAGGTGGAAACGAAATAAAGTGCCAAACGGCGTCGAAGGAAGGTGGAGTGAAAACTAAGTCAAAATGGTTTAGCGTTGATGAGGTAATGTACAATCAGACCAATCGCAGCTTCCATTCTGAGAAGGCTGGAGGTGTGGATAAGCACGGACGGAAGCGACCCACTGTTGTCCTTTTTACCCCTCTTTCCCTCCTCGGGATTAGGTCATCAAGCTATACCTTAAATGGGATGACTGCCATGAGCAGTTCCTCCCATAGGGCGGGAGCATGTTTCCCCTGTTCCTGAGCTAATCTCCTTCCGCCTTAGCTCATCTCTATTGTCACTCACTCAATCACTCATTCACTCGCTCATCCCCCTTGTTCCTGGTCATCTCATCCTTCTGTGCTGACACCTCCGGGCCTCTCTTCATGCTCACTCACACTTTGTCACCAGGCTTCAGTATTTCTCGGTCTAGCCACTCAGATGACTTACGACTACACAGGGATTGCACAATGCGGGCGGTGGCGAGTAGAAACTTTTCCTCTTCAGCAGCAATCAGATGTGCCGTGATGAAAGACCGGCCAAGGATCAGGTCCCTGCCGGAACCAAGTTCCAATCCTTCAATGACACTGAGATATCTCACCACGGGAGGCTGCTCGTGCTGACTAGCTCTCAGTCGCGACTTTCTGCTCGTCGGCAATACGACCGTAGAGTTGGAAACAGTTCTACGAGGATGAGAAGTATCTGATGTTAATGACTTGTTCTTGATTCGGGCGCACCTCCAAGATGGTACCGTGAAACCAGCCATCGAATCAATAATCGGACGGCTCATCAGACGTCTCTACCTAGACACACAAAGTCCAGACAAGATCGTCATCCATTTACACTCTTGAATCGTGCTGCAAGGTTCACCAGTGGCACCTGCTGTGCTACCCGGGCTTCTTTTCGGTCTCACCCGCTGCAATCGACCGGGCAATCACCATCCCAGAAACAAAAAGGCAAGATCGTTGCTCTGTCACTGGCGACCGAGTATCCGCAAGGGGCAGGCGGAAGTTGCTTCCCAGCTTTTCATCAGTCGCACATTGATCGGTTTTCCGGTTCATGTTTATATCTTTTGCCACAGGCTGTCACTCGACCAACTGGATTTTCGTCGTACCTGGCGTGCTGGTTATCCGAAAGCAATATCGTCTGCATATCTGGGTCGATGATCTTCAATCTTCTTCCCCCATGCCGGACCTCGACAGTTGCAGGCGCTTCGCATCCCGCATGTCTGCCACCCTCCCGCTTCCCGGCCATGCTTACTTAGTAGGCTAGGCTTTAAACTTACGGAAATCTGCCCGTTACGTTACCTTTCATCCCACCACTTGGTGATGCCCAAGACCTGGGCCCATCCGACGAGGCAATATTGCACACAGTTTCGGGGGTACGATCCTGGCGTGCAGCTCGACGGTCAAATCTTGCGCAAGAGGGCCACAGGCCAACCGCTCAGGACCTCCATCTAAGCAAAAGTCCCTTGTATGTGCATCGGTCTTGGCCCTTGCCAATGCCACCCGCCCCCCTCCCAACCCAAGGACGACAGAAACGGCCGGCCGATGCCGCCTCACGGCCGCCCGACCTCACCCCATGTGGCTCAGGCGCAGATGGGGACGAAGTCCGACAAAATGTGCGCAACTTACTGTGAGATCAATCTGTTTTACCCTACCTCACTCTTCGAGCCAGACTCTCGGCATTTCTGTCTTTTCTCGGGCCCTTCTCTGACCTGCAGTCACGCCTGTTTTCCCCGCCACGCCTACATGAATTGGGCTTACACAGTCAGGCCATATCTTCCGCTAGTGACATCTAGTGATGCTGCCGCAAGAATCTCGCAATGATTTTGCGTCGCGTATCTTATACTTGGCACACATACAGGAAAGTCTTTCTGTGAGCTGCATGCCTAATTCCTCCCGGGACGCGTACCCAAGCAGCCAAGTTACGAGCATCATAACTCGCACCCGCTTGGTGCCAGTCTTCTTGGAGCCGGAACTGTTTGCCGTTGTTGTAGCGACCTCTTTGACCGTTCATATGGCCTCCGCCTGCCTTTCGAGGAAACAGCTTGCCAACCACGGTCAATATCCCTGCCGTCATCTCTGCAGGCAGGACCAGGGTCCTGGTGGGCCGTCACACCCCTCCTCAAGTGTCCACATCCATCGGCTCTCTCGCCTTCTGTGCTCCATTGCCCTCGTCCCGATCTTGCATTTGCCAATGGCCATCAAGCGAAGCCTCATGGCAGATAATATCGTCCCCATTCACTCCGACTGCCGTCTGAGGCACGCCCCTCCGGTATGTGGCACATCGATATACGAGAGGCGACGGGGCCTAGAGCTTAGCTCCCCATGTCGCTGGGTTCCTTCGTCATCCTGTTTTCCTGCCTCCTCATTGTGCTGTTTACTTGACCAACACCCTCCCTCCTTGCCTCGAGAGTTGAGCTGGCGAGATGCCCAGCCTATAGATCGCCCACCTTTGTCAACACCATCTCGGACGGAGGTCCCGCGGAACGGACACTGCGCTACGTAGCTTACGAGGTACGGACTGCTCTCTCTGGCTAGAGCTTGCGGGGAACCTCATCCTGCTGTTGACGGGAGCCCTCCTCATCTTGATCCTGAGCTCAGGTAAGGCTGCCTTGCCAACTCAGCTCTTCAGCCTCCCGTCTTCCCATTGTACATACATATGTGCCCCCAGGTACCATCCTCAGCTTCTTTGAGCCTGTTCTGCCCCCAATCTCCAACTGGCACTCGTTCATGTGTGTTCAGCTTCGACCTGCGGCTCTCCCACACTCGTTAGTCCATTGTCGCAACGCGACCAGCTTGCATGCTGCATTGATATTGGGCACTTGGGATACCATAGTCTCTCGTTCGTCAGAAGCTCACGGCAATGCGTTGGACATCACTCCTGGCCTTGGGTGCCTTGGCCGCCAGTGTCACGGCACAAGACAGCGGAGCAGTATTTGCGAGACAGAATGATTCCTATGCTGAGCCGTCTGGCGCATACTCGGTTGCCTCTTTGCCAGAAGCCTCATCTCCGGCTTCACTTGAGCCTTCACCCTCGCCATCGCCATCGCCTGAACCTCAACAGTCGTCGGAACCGGCAGCGACGCCCTCGGCCTCAGCTACCAAGGAGCCCGTCGCAGAACCAGCTTCTTCAGTTGAAGCCCAGCCCGCTCCCACAACGACCAGCGCCGACAAGAAGTCGCCAGACTATGGCACCGATACCGATGACTGTAGCCACTGGGCCTCGAAGTGCCCCTGGGGACAGACTGTGACCGTCACCGAGAAGCAGGTTTCGACTGTCACTGAGAAGCAGGTCTCGACTGTTACGGAAAAGCAGATCTCGACCTTGACCGTTGAGAAGCCGGTCGTTTCCACGTGAGCTGCCTTCTCCCAAGGAATCCTAGGAAGGATATCTCTAGATTCTGACTGACCTCAATTAGCCTCACGATCGTCTCCAAAGAGACTGTGTACACCACGCAAGCCTTCACTACGACAGATTACGAGACCAAGACAATTGTGAAGGTCTCCTCCTACCCTGTGACTACCACGGTGGCTCTGTAAGTATAGGAAGCTCCCGCGTACATCCCAAACATTCTCAACCCACCAAGCCATACCCGGCTCCTTATCCTCTTCTATATCCCCTACAAAGATTTCAACGTCCCGCCTTCTCTATTCGACAAAGGCGCCTTGTTGAAGAGAGATGAGGAGAGGGCGCCGAGACAGAATGTAGACGACATACGGATCGTGGGTCCATGGCTTGCGATTCTGCATTTCCGAGCCCGCTATTGATTTCATCCCCCGTCTATTAATTTCATCCGGCGTCTGTTACACAATGCGGTAGAGCCTGGGATTACATGAGCTAACTCGTCTCAGTTGCGATCCTGTAGATGCCTCTGGTCCAACCACCTCCCCCGTCCCAACTTATGGAGGTGGCTATGGCAGGAAGCGAACTCCTCAGCAAGTCTGCAGGACGACCACAACCACAATTTGGAAGACGAGCACGACAAAGGTCACGGAAGTCGTCCCAGTTCCCACCACAATCGTACAGACGCAGAAGCAGACAATCCAACTCCCTCCATCCATCGAGACGCAACAGGTCACGCAGACGCGAGAGGTCACTGCTACTCGGATTCATACTTCCGTCTCGACTTTGGTATCCACCGTTGTGTCGACCGAGATCATTCCAACGACAGTGATCTCAAGCAAAACGCAATACGTGACCACGACTTACACGACATTGAAGACCTACTATATCACGGACACTATTACAGAGACTCAGAAACAGCCACCAACAACGATCTTCGAGACCAAAGAGCGAACGGCAACAATCACTCAGCCTGTGACTCGGACGGCGACTCAGATTTCAACGACCACAATCATCTCGACCCTTGTGTATACGACAAGCATCCCATACACTATTACCTCTGATCACACAATCACCAAGACTTCCTACTCTGTGTCCACTTTCACTAGTCTCGTTACTTACACTTCACCAGTGACCATAACTGCGTCTTACACGGAATTCCAAACAGCAACGGCAACGGCCACAAGAACCGCAACTGTCACGAACAAACAGACAGAATATTTGACTTCTCTGACAACGGTCTTCGTCTCAACGACTCTCTTCGAAACTCTCACTCTTTCGACGAGTTATCCAGTGACTATTCCCATAACCGTCACCAACGACAGGACGATTCGAGAAACGTTTTACTCGACTGTCGTGGAGACTTCTGTGAGAACGATAGTTTCTTCCTATCCAGTCACTCGAACAGTCACGCAAACCTCACCTCCTCAGACCGTTACTCAGCCTGCTTCAACAGTGACTCTTCCGCCAGTTACGACTACGACAACGATTTCTGGGGAGGCCATCACGATCACCTTGCCTGCTTCAACCATCACCATTCCTGTGACCGCCACTATTACAGGACCCGGGGAGACAATTACTCGTCCTGGTGAGACGATCACTCGGCCTGCTTCAACCGTCACCCTTCCGCCAGTCACAACTACGACAACGATTTCTGGGGAGGCCGTTACGATCACCTTGCCTGCTTCAACCATCACAATTCCTGTGACCGCCACTATCACGGGGCCCGGAGAGACGGTAACGCGTCCCGCTGAGACGATTACCCTGCCGCCCGAAACGGTTTTCACTACGATTGCCGGTGAAATCACGACTCTCACCCTGCCAGCATCTACAATTACTCTGCCAGGAGTCACAGATGTCATCACCGTCACACCTCCTCCTGCAACCATCACTCTTCCCGGATCGACTGTAGTTTCGACAATTGCAGGCGAGCTAACGACAATCACCTTACCCGGAACCACGTTGACTCTGGTTACCACTCAAGTAAACACGGTCACTCTGCCTCCCTCTGTGACGACTTTGCCTGGTTCAACAATTGTGACTACGGTCGTCGAGACTGCGCCTGCATCGACATTGACCATCACTCGCGACGGTTCGACAATAACCAGCATCGTGCCAGGGCCAACATCTTTCGTCGTTTCGACCTTAACGTTGCCCCCGGTCACCGTTACCTTGCCACCTTCAACGGTCACAGAGATCACGGCTTGCCCGGCCCCAACGAACACTCCCGGATTAAACTCTGCGGCCGAATACAACCCGAGGTCCAACCTGACGTGGGGCTGTCAACCCGGATACGTCTGCAACCCTCCCAAGCCGGCCGGCTGCAACCTATGGGCAGACCCGCCAGCAGACAATTATATCTGTGCCCCGCAGAACTGTATTCCAGCACCGCCTGTCACTCTAGCAAATTGGAAGGAGAATGAGACAAGCTACTATCCAGTGAATGAGGGATACTTCAACCTGAATCCAAATGCCTTTGGTCTTCCTTTTGACATCTTTGAGTACGAAGTCATTGTGACCAAGGTGAAGGGTAAGAAGGGACACAAGAAGACAACCATCACGACCGGAAACTGGGCTTCAGCTACGGAGCTAACTCACTATCCTCCGACCGCCCAACCCACGATCACGTCTTCCCCTATCCCTACATCCTCTGCTGAGATTGGCAAACACGCCTACAAGCATAAGCAGGAGGGCAAGGTCTACGAGCGCCGTGATTTCTTCGGCAAGCGAGATGTTACGATCGCTCCTGCCATCTGCTTCGACAATTGCAACAATGTTTATATCGAGGTTCAGACCGTGGGCAAAAACCCTCAGATTTGCTTAGCGGGCTCCGCCTTCCAGATGAACCTCGAGACTTGCAGGCAATGCGTGATAGACAACGCCGATGACGGGAAGGAGACTCTGCGTCTTTACATCGAACCACAATTCCAGCAGTGGCTAGTATACTGCACCGGCGAGGCACCGCAGACTTCGTCTTCCGCAACTATCCTGCCACCCCAGAGTCAAGCAAGCGGCACGGCTACACTCACGACAGCAAGCCAAGGGGCCGGTTCCAGTGATACTTCGGCCGTCCCTATTCCGGGGTCAACCACAACCACCACTGCTGAGGTGTCTACCACGATTACACCTACTCCCACTCCCACGCCGTCTCCTAGCACGAGCGTGGCAGCGTCTTCTACATCCTCGACTGCCAGCACAGCAGAAAGCTCTCAATCTTCATCCAGCTCTAGCCCTTCGGTCTCTCCCACGCCATCTGACACGACCTCCACGGCCACGATTAGCTCCGGATCCACTGCCGTGACTTCCAGCTTTTCAACAGCGACGTCTGCCGCCGTTTCGACAAGCTCGACTTCTGCTGGAACTCCTACTCCGACCGGAAGCGTCTCCTCGGATTCTCCAAGCGCTTCGAGTGCCTCAGGTACTTCAATTGCTTCGAGTCCCGCGAGCGGGTCAAGCGCTCCAAGTCAGTCGAGTTCTCCAGCAAGCGCGTCATCACTCTCCACGGCAACTTTATCTTCGGTATCATCAGCACCGTCCGGAACAGCGACAGACGGTCCCGGCTCGAGTCCGTCGGCTTCAAGCCCCTCAGAATCCGTGTCTGACGGTCCAACCACCTCAGCCGGATCAGCATCTACAGCAACTGGCGGGGCTGGAGGCTCTACATCCGAAACCTCAGCGCCATCCTCGACTGTGTCTTCTCCAAGCACCACTTCGACAGGCCCCATCACAGCCGCAGCAGTCAAGCCCGCCACCTCGACCATCCTCGCCATACTGGCGCCGCTCATGGTTCTTCTACTCCTCTAATTCGTATCCGATCCTTCTGAACATTATATAAGATTCTTCTTCGTGGGTTTGTACAATTGGCGGTAAAAGTTCATCATCCTATTCTGCACATTCCTTCCTGAGGTCTTGGACCAACATCATGTTTGGCGTTTTATGAGAAAGTGACTTATGGTTTGGCTTCTTTACAACGAATTCACGACACTCTTTTAGACTAATGAGTAATTGGGATCATTTGGCGGGCATTACTTTTTGGGCAATTTTGCATATTTAATGGGGGATACGTTTTGTTTTTTGTGGTTATGATACCCTTACGCTCCTTAACGACGCGGCTTTGAAGGCTATGAGCCATCACCTAGGTACGATGAGAAGCTTGGCGCGTCTCGATGCGACTTGGGAAATGATGGATATGGTATTTGCAAATGTTAGAATTCTGATTTGGGAGGGAACGTAATGAGCCGGGGCACTGAATAAGGCAAGGCGGCATCCTCAATACCCGGATTGTGCTTGAGTTATCCAATGCAATAATTTGTGCTTTTCTATTCCACGCGTTTCGGAGCTGCTTCTTTCAGGTCCTCTTATTTGTGAATCGCGGGTGGAACGGCCATGTGTTTCAATTTGGGAACTGTTGGTCGTGTCCATGTCTCGCTTGGCATGGCTAATGTAGTGCCCTACGATGTGACTAACAGTACTCGTTGCCTAACTCCCATGCATCTGCTCTCGCCTTCGACGTCATCCAGATCTTTTCAAACAACGTGCTTCCGTACTCCAAAGTTAGACTTCGTGTTTAGACAGAACATATGTTATCTACATATACACGTATCGAGACGTACAAGTGACCGCTGCCCAAGACTCGAGCAACCGGGCCCTCAACGATCGAATCAGTACCACAAACTCCAGACGACTCCGGAACAAAATATCACGAAAGTACTGTCCACAACTTCCCTCCCCTTCGTCCTCATGTTCTTTTCCCAAAGTCTCGCGTCAGCCTGGGAGCTCACGTTTTTCCAGGTCCCACTCATCATCTCCTCGTGGCTAGGCAGCAATGCGACCCCGCGCGTCCATCAGTTCCTGCTCGACACGGGTCATCCGTGGCTCACCAACCACGCCCGCGAGCTCTGAAGACTCCCGGACGCGACAGACTCAATGAGATCAAGGCGTGCCCGAGAGCACTCGCTGAAGCCCGTGAGTTGACGGTGGATGTATATGTCCAAACCGGAATGGGGTGGCAGACCTTGGGTGATACCTGGGACACCATAACCGCGGAATCGACGCTTCCCCCTAAGTCCTTGCCGGCGCTGTTTTTCGACGTCATGGGGAAGATGAAGAATTTGAGCAAGATCGAATGGATGGTAAGGGGCGTCGACGAGAATGCGGCCATCGGCAGGGCCTTTATCGAGGACGGGACACGGTTGCCTGGTGTGAAGCACCTTGTCTCGACCATAAATGCGCCGTGGATTGTCGGCGCTTGTCCTTCACTGACCTCTCTCGAAGCGAAACGCGATGATTTTGTCTGGGGAGAAGCTGCGCATAAGAGGGATGTGGCCTGGTTCGCTGCCGCAGGGAGACTCAAAGGCCTGAGGAAGCTTGATATGGGAGAAGTCGAGTGGACGGGCACGATGACTGATTGTGAGTACTTGGAGCGGGATATGTATATGTCAATTCTGTTTTTGACTAACTCACAAACTCATAGGCGTACTTCGAGATACCCCTCACATTGAAGGGCTCCATATAGGTGCGCCAGCCCAAGACTTCAAACATAGAAACATCAACCGGGGAAACTTGCTGCGGGTAAACCTCCCTTCAACTTTTCCCCATTCTTAATCCCTCGAAGGTTGATTCTGCCACGTGCTGCTGACCAAATGGCATATTGCGTAACCAGGATCTTATAAAATCCCTCTCTCTTCTTCCCAGCCTCACGCAGCTTCACCTCCCGCGGTCCTCTCAACTGGAACTCAGCTATGACGGGGGATCGATGTGCGGAAACGCATACATGGGCCAAAACGGTGCCAAATATTGGCGCAGTAACATGGCTCAAGACCTTGAGACAACGGAGTTGGATGGGAAGATTGTTCGGCAGGAGTTCCCGGGGTTGCATGGAGTCCACGTCGGTGGGTTCTGCGGGAACTTCACGACGGGTGCTGAGGCGGAGCAGGTCATTACCTGGGATTGGACTGGGAGTATGTACGAGTGGTTGGATGAGAAGCAGATGGCTGTCAATTTTACCGAGGAGCCTTAAGCCAGGCTGTGCAGTGTCAGTCGCATTCTAATTGATGAATCTTGCAAGAGGCGGTTCATAGGACCGTTCCTCTTCTCTCGATACCGTTTCTGACAAGTTGAAATCCACAGCACCGTCACTTCTTGTCCAAGATGAGTTTTCATCTTCTTCGTCAATGTCCATCTTGCTCGAAGTGTCTGGTATAGAATGTACTAAGCCGTCCCATGGAAAGGCATCCTTGAGGATCGTCAGGAACTTGCCTGCCCCATCGATCGAGGAAAGAAGCATTCTTTTGCGATTGCCAACAACAGCTTCGTGCCACAGCATGGTGATAAAATGGTCCGACCGGGCGAGTATTCCCAACTTCCACTGGTATATCTTTTGTAGGCTTGGCGCCCTGTGGTTCAAACTAGCGACTAAGGGCACCAGATCGTCTCTCCATTGAGATTCGAGCCATTCGTTAAATTTGTTTGGCTGATACTGGTGGCAAAATGCTCGCAAGTCAGCCTTGGTAGGCGGAAGTCCTGGAATTTTGAAGTGCTGCCGTTGCAGATGTGACGCTGCCTCTTCAAAGGTACGATAAGTTGCAGCGCCCCGACATTCGGTACACGAGGATTGTTGCTCTTCACTGTCAAGCTTACGCCATCCTGCTTGGCGAATCGCGGTGTCTTTGACGAACCATCGTAGGTTATGATGTGGGGTGGAACACAAGCTCTCTCCGGTCCACCTAGTACCCCCTCTGATCATGTCTTCGGGTATAGGAGCCCAGCTTCGGGGGAATGGCCGATTGAAGTTAACGTTCAACTTCTCTTCTAGTACCGCTGCCTTATAAAGCACCTGGATTAGCTGCTGTGGCGGGTCTTGCACCCAGAAAACACGATGAGCAATCCTCTCAATAACTTGATTCATGTCTCTGAATGCATGTATGCACGATCCCGGGCGTTTTTCAACGTACTCGGTTTCCGAAAGCAGTTGACATATCTGTTTCTCAACATACATTGAGGTCGGCTGCGAGTCCAAAGTTTGAGGTAAGCCCTCAAGATCTGTAAAGCGTTTATCTCGTGACTTGCTGGTGTCGACACGAAAGAGCTTTATAGACTTATCGTTGTGATCCAGCGATGGACGTTGGGCAGAATGACATTCGCATAAATGAAACTTGAAATATGATAAGGAGATATAGAGCTTTCCCTGATTACAGGCAGCTGGTGCGTGAACGTTTACGACATGCATTGCTTGCTGTTGCGATTCGTTGATGTCGAAGCGTTGTAGACAAAATATGCAGTGGACCAAATCCTCGTTATGGCCGGCAACAAAGTAGTCGTCCATTCCAATTGCCGAGCCGCAGGACCAAAATGTCCTTATTGGTCTGGATGTTTTTGAAGTACCCAAGAAGTCTTGAAAATCACCGTCGTGACTGCCATCCGTTTGAGAAGAGTAACTCAATCTTCTCAGTGAACCCGTCTGAGAATGCGGTTGACTGAGCTGCTCAATAGAGCTGCTGATTGAGCTTGCCAGGCCATATATACTGTCGCTTATGGCCGTGAGCGACTGTCGAGTCTCTAAACGATGCGCTTCGATTTGGTTCTCAAGCTGCCTTAGTCGATCACTCGCAGCGGTTGAGATATGGTCCCTCAATTTTCGGTTCTGAACGGCTGATTCCTCTGCCGCGGATGCCAATGACTCGTCATTCGTGGCGTTTGATTGTAAGTTGAGCTCCGTGAGCTGATGTAAACCTTCTTGAACAGCGTCAATCTTCGCCAGCCCTGCCATAGAAGAGGCGCTGTGAACCAGGCGATTAGCTGATGAAGCCTGGTTGGCTAAGAAACTCACGCATTCAAAACACTGAGGTCAAAAATCAATTGGGAGCGGTGAGCCGTCAATTTAATTTCCATATCCGAGATGCCCCGAAGGCGCTTGTTTTGAATGATGTCTAGGAACTTCCGTCGCTTCGATGTTGACTTCCCGACGCTCTTGTACGACTTGGACCATTCGTCGAGGTCCTTTCCGCAGCGAACGAGATGTGATCGGAGTGTAGAAATGTTCGGCTCCCAAGATGTCTCGATAATCGAGGCAAGGTTTTTTTCATAGACCTGGAGAAAAGCCTTTATGTCTTCTAAGGTTTCAGAAAGAAGCCCAACTTTGGCATTCAAGGACTCGGTTCGAATGTCCATTTCCTTTGCAGCCTGGACGAATCCATTGAGTTTGATGAGACCATTCACGACATGGCCGGCGACGGAGAGAAGCCCAGCGATGCTGGCCGCCGCTGAGACTGCCTCCATTTTTCCATGGGGTGTTTTGAGAACGTGTCTTTGAACCAACGGGGGTGAAGGGAATCAGCTGTTATGTAGCACTTAGAGGCCTAGACTACTGCAGCACCTGCCATTCGCTATGCATGCACGATCACGCAACACAGCCAAGGAAGGACAGTTCAAGAGACTTAATTGGCTTGACTGCTGCGCCTGGAGGAAACTTGTAACCAACTAAAGGGGCTCGTCAACATGCTCACCATGGCGAACCAGTCAGCCTCAATATGCTACTTTCCGTAGTTCGTCACAGCCTCAGGAGGGCTTCACATGTCCCCTTGTTGAGTGGATGAGGATTGATTGGACAGATGCTAGCACTCCAAGAGGCGGTCAGCTACGCAAGGATAATCGGAAGTGAGGTCGCGTTGCATCCAAATCGAACCGGCGTTGGCCATAATTTGGTGGGGGAGGGGAGGGGGCTTTCCCGAGAGACACTAAGCTATTGCGATCATCACAAGAGATTGAGGAACAGACAAGTGCACGAGAATTATCTCAGTTGCCAACAAGGCTCCTCAACTATCCTATGGGAAGTTCTTGAGAAGCATTGCTTACACTGAGACTTCTCAATCATCAATTTTTGCAAAGCGAACCGGAAGACGCAGGATGAGGTGGCGAGCGGGGAGAAGGTCATCTGCTTGCCATCTGGCAACTGCTTCTAGTCAGAATGGGGAAGAAGAAGGCGATTGACGCGATTGGTTCCTTACCGAATGGATGGTGTTATCAGGGACGTACTCATTTACTCTGAGTCACCCAATGGTACGTAGATATCTGGACAGCAGGCTTGGGAAAGAGCAAGAAACTTAGAATCCAGCTGAGCTCCCATGGGAAGAAGTCTTAGGGAATGTAGGTACTGTGGCAGATGATGAGTATTCCTTGTCATTGACGAGAAAAGGTCCAATTGTACTCACATTAGGTAGGTAATTTCGTAGGTAAGAGATCTCACTCGTGTCAGGTTGCCTAGCCCCTCTGTCCACGGCGGAAGAGCGCGTCGCGTGGCATAGAGCCTATCTGGTACGTCCGATAGGTGGGAAAGGGAAAAGTTCGAGATATGCTCGATGACTGGTGCCCAGGATTGACGGTCCTACACGACAGGCGGAAAGATCGATGTTGCTGCATTGGGAATAAACTGTGTTGAGGTGGTTCGAGTGACGATCTAAGACGTGTCAATGACTCCGATGTATCGAAAGGGAATATTCCATAGTTAGTGAATTGAAGTTTGATTTTTTGGTAAAATAATGCCTTGAGAGGCTAGGCTTTCTGACTACGAAGTGAGATGGGGGGAGAGGAAAAAAAAGGAAGGATGGAAGATCGAGAGGTCGGCTCAGAGAAAGAAGTATCGAGCCGGAGTGGCCAGGAGCGGAGTGGAGCCGAGCGAAGCAGTCACGAATGCGCGTTCTTCCGATCTGCCTGACAATTGATCCGAATGGTGTAAGTTTGGGAAGGAGAGAGCCACAGAAATGAGGCAGGACCTTGAGCGAGGAGGCGAGGAAGGCGCGAGTGGCCCAGGAAGGAACCAAGGAAGGAGCCAGTCTCTGGGTTCAGTGCTCACATCATCTCATAAAATTATTTGGACGACCTCGACGACGAGATTCAGACTGATGGCGGTTGATAAGGCCATACAAGATGGATCAAATGGTCAAGCCTCATATTCATCCATGAATCCAGGTGGCCTTCATAAGGTAGGCTCAGATTGCCACCACCACCAACACCAACCAAGCAATCAACCACCTCCAAGAAACAGGAAATGGTGTAGAAACCCTTTGGAGAAGTGCATGTATAACATGTTCATTGATCATCTGTTCGCTTCTTCGCTTCGTAAAGTACATTATTATCCCATGCAATCACGACTCGCTAGCCTTCCGCTGCTTCTCCCGAACCGAATTGATGGACGAGCTGATACTAGCCTTGGACGAAGAGTGCCTCAACGACCTCTCCGCCACAGACTCGGCACCGGAACCGCTATCCCCGCGACTGATACTTCCCTCCCTCGCCAACGGCGACGAAATATCAGGCGTGACAGATCTCGACTCAATATTGGGACGCTTCGCCTTGGTCAACGTCTTCTTCCTCCGCTTCTCCGACGCATTGGACCCGGTGCTAGCCTTCCTACTAACAGTACCATCCCCGTCGTCGCTCGTCGCGGCCAAGGACGGCGCAAGGCTGCGGCTCGAGCTCGTCGAGCTGCGGCGGTGGGCGCTGGTAGTGCTGCCACGGCGTCTATGCTCGCGCTCGATGGCGGCGGCGCGGGGGTGCATCGTCGTCTTCTCTGGCGACTGCTGGCGCGCGGGCGGCGGGCCGGCCTTGTCGATGCGGTGCCACGGCAGCCACCAGAACATGCCCCACCGCTGCTTGGCCACCTGGCGGTCGCGTGCTGCGAGCTTCTTCTGGATGAGGGCGCGACGCTCGTTCTCCTTCTCCCAGTATTCTGTGCGGTAGATTTCCCAGTTTTCTCTAAATGTAGGCGTGAACGGCTTCGCGAGCAGGAGGAGCTTGACGTAATCTCCGCCCGGGGCGAGATCCTCCTCGTGACCACCTTTTTCTTCGTCTTCGAGCAGGACCGGTAGCGTTGGGTGGCTGTCCGTGGTGAGGCTCAGCTCCTTTTCGACTTCGCGCAGGATGGATGGTTCGACGTAGCGGTAGGACGAGCTGGCGGTGTGGGAGAAGAGTCCGTAGGTCAGGAAGAAGCCAATGGTGGAGAGAAACTCGGCCCACCAAGGTCGTCGGATAATAACCAGCTTAGAATTGAAACCTCGAAGGCCTCTGTTGGAGATGGCGAACCAACGGCGTGGCCACCTGATGCCTCGCTCCCATATTCCTGTAGCCCATACCAGTATCGCGGTCATGACACCTCCCATGAAGCAAATCTTCTCGAATGTTTCGACGCCCCAGTACACAGAGCCACCAACTCCACGTCCATCCTCACGCGGGGCGAAGAAGAGAGCGTACCCAAAGCCGCTGATCCATGCGGTCAGCAAGGTGAAGAAGAACGTGTGATGGCGGCGGCGGGCGCGAAGCTCGAGGTACTGTGCGCGTAGAGAGGCCTCGAGGATGAGGAGGTTCAGGTAGATCATGGACGGAGAGCTCGGGGTATGGATCAACGGGTCGCCTTGCTTGCCAGAGTCGGGGACGACGCCGGTGGTACCGACGGCGGCCTTGGGCTCTTTGCCCGGCGGCGGGGCGCCCTTGACCAGCGAGTCAAGCTCGTCGGCCATGGTTGCGGTAGGGAGACCTGTCGTCGCTCAGAGGGGATTTCAAGCTTTTCGGTAGTGGTGATGCGGCGGTCAGGTCGCTTTGGGACGGAGGATTGAGAATTGGAGGGGCCTCGGCAGCCGCAGTCAGCAGCGGTCTGCAGACATGCGCGGTGGTCGAGGGGCGGGGGATGGAGATGCGAAGCTGCAGGTGGACGGGGCGCAGGTGTGCAGAAAGGGGTGAGCAACAAGCAAAATAAAGCTGCTTTAGCTGCACTGCCCTTTGGAGGTGAGAGCTTTCTGCGTGTGTGCGTTCTGCTGGTGTTCGAAGCAAGGGCGGAACTGGAATCTGTCGGTGGTCAGATGTCAATCCAGGCCAGCCGGGTGTGCTTCAGCTGGCGGGTTGGGGGTGGAAATTCCGCTCCGCCTGGCAGCAGGTGTGGACAGTGGGACGTCATAGGGAAAAGAGGCGGGGTGGCCCGAGCGCGGGGTGTCTGGACCATTACGATAAGCGATTGCGATTGCGATAAGGCTTGTTGGGGAGCTGCGCATCTCAGTGAGAGCTTGACACGTGCAAATCGGTTGAAGATTTCACGATGAACAGGGCTTGATTGAATATGAAGCTCGAAGAGCCAAGGCTGATGAGCTGCTCAGGGATATAAAGGGCCCCTGCGGAATACAGAGTACGGAGTAATACAAGGTTGCTCGGCTCTGGCTTGTCAGCAAAAGGCGCATTTCCACCTGTTTCCCACACAATTCGCAAAGACCCTGAGTGCATTGTGATTGATGCCCCATTGTGTGGGAGACACTGCACAGAGAAAAGACGTTTCCTCGTCCATGCTTTTGTTTTGAGCCTCAGAATCGAAACATATTCACCAAGCTAGAGAAGGAAGTTTCGTCTCTTCTTCAACTAAACTCAATTACTTTCTTCATGCAGGTCTTATGCAAATATTGACAGCATATACTAGACAGATGCTGGGTACGGAGTACAGTTGTATGGTCATGATCCGGCCACGATTCCACAGCCACGATGCTGTCTTAATTGACAGCTCCATTCAGATTGTTGCCTACATCGAGTTAGCGTGTCTATGATTGCGTAAGGTCCTGGAGAGAAATTGCACCGTCAGCTTCAGGCTTCAGCCTTGAAAGCATCATCTGACTGGGCCAACTACGGATTTCTCCAAGTTACGACTTAGTAGTCAGCAACTTAGCCACATGTCCACCGGGAAATCGGAGGCTTGTTTTGTCTCTTACCGCCGACACGGCTCAATGCAACAGCTGCCCCCACTCTTCTACCCGCCAAACTCCGAGTGCTAAGTCCATGAACCGATCCGCATCCCGCTTCTGGGGCACGTTGTTGTCCCCTTGGTGCCACCTACACAGTAGTCTTTCTCATGTTCCTCACACAATGACCCCTGCCTGCTTACGCCCCTGTCGCTCAACTGCTCAACAAGCTTGTCGGTTTTTTACGGAGCCGTTGACATTCCGGCCGGGGCACCTGGCTTGCTTGTCTCTCATCGAACCCTCCCACCTTTTTGCCCACCGTCATCTTTTGTCCACCCCTCTGCCACATCTCCGCGTCACCACTGCCCTGCACAACGGCGTCTCCGTCCTTCTTTTGTTACTGCACCTGCCTAGAACTCGGGAGGATTGCTAACCCGGCGTTAACTGCATCTATCTATCCCGCTCCGTCTAGACTGCAGCCCCCGGTCCGCATTCTTTGCTGACTGATGAGTCGTCGCAAGTTTCAGAACATCCGCGCTCCGGACACACACCTCCGCCGCCCGCGGCCACACTGATTTGACGCCTTGCGCTACCCGTACTTTATTTTGCGACTTTTGTATATAGACGGTTGGCCCCCGTCGCCACCACCCACAGCAACATCCGGCATGATACACCAACAAACCGCTTCTTCTCTAGTGAACGGGTCGCGACTCAAACTTGCTTCCTCACTAATTACGTCGTCCTCTGCAACTGTCAAATCTCCCGCACCTAGCGTACGGGCCTCTTCTGAAGACTCCGTCCCTCGCCGATCCCACCAAACAATGGCTGCCGCCGCCGCACCCCCCGCCGCTCCCAATGCGACAACTCGTCCCCCGGGAACCTACTTCCCACTGGGATACAAAGATGCCGTCTATCAATGGGTAAGCAATCCAAGAAAGTCCTTCAAATCGCGGGGTAACGTTGCTAACAAAAAGTCCGCAGTGGACAAGTGTAACTCCGCAAATGGCCGAACGCAACGTCCTGTCACACATCCCTTACCTCAAAGAAGCCCGCGAAAACGCCTCCCTCGACTCGACCAAGCCAGACCCCTTTGGCCAGCGCGTATGGAAGTCCCAAATGGTCGAGCTCTCCGGCAAGAACCGCGCCCTCAACGAATACTCCATCGAGCGCGTCGGCGAGGAGGTCGACAACAATCTCGTCATCGTCCACGGCTACGGCGCCGGCCTCGGCTTCTTCTACAAGAACTTTGAGCCCCTATCCCGACCCAAGGGATGGAAGCTCTACGCCCTCGACATGCTCGGCATGGGCAATTCCACAAGGCCGCCATTCAAGGTCACTGCCAAGGACCAGGAGGGCAAGACTCATGAGGCCGAGGCCTGGTTCATCGACGCCCTCGAGGAGTGGCGCAAGAAGCGCAACATTGACAAGTTCACCCTCATCGGCCACTCACTCGGCGGGTACCTCTCCATCGCCTACGCACTTAAGTACCCCGGCCACCTCAAGAAGCTCATTCTCGCCTCGCCTGTGGGAATCCCCGAAGACCCATACGCAGTCAACGCAGCCATGCCCGAACCCGAAGAATCGACCCTCCAAAACGAGTTCACACAGGATCAAAACGAAGTCACCAGCAACGCCTCCAACACAACAGCATCACGAAACGCCAAGCCCAACGCACCCAAGCGTCCCCTCCCGGGCTGGCTCGTCTGGCTCTGGGACGCAAACGTCTCCCCCTTCAGCATCGTCCGCTTCACCGGCCCGCTCGGCCCCCGCTTCGTTTCCGGCTGGACATCCCGCCGCTTCAACCACCTGCCCCAAGAGGAGTCCCAGGCGCTGCACGACTACGCCTTCTCCATCTTCCGCCAGCGCGGCAGCGGCGAGTACGCCCTGCCGTACATCCTCGCCCCGGGTGCCTTTGCCCGCAGCCCCATGGTCAACAGGATAGACGGCGTCGGCCGCCAGGTCATTGAGAAGAGCACGGGCGAGAAGCTTAGGGAGACGGGAATCCCCATCGTCATGATGTACGGCGAGAACGACTGGATGGACAAGAAGGGTGGCGTCGCGGCGGCCGAGAAGCTAAAGCAGGCTAGGTTGCAGGCGCTGCTCAACGGCACGGAGGAAGAGAAGAGGAGGGAGAACGGGTCAGCAAAGGTTATTGAGGTTTCCAAATCGGGTCACCACCTTTACCTCGACAACGCTGAGGAGTTTAATGACTACATCCTCAAAGAGATGGAGGATGTCCAGAAGAGCAAGCTCTAGAACTTTGGCTTACGAACGTTTCGAGAGGGGCGTGATTGGTGAAAATATGGGCAAGCTTCACAGCCTTGCCAGCCAGAGCAGCATGTTTTTGAGGCGTTTTTCGGGGGATTGCATTGCATGACAACAGATCGAGCCTTGAATTGGCCGACGGGAATATCCAGTGGGAGCGTTTGGCTTGGTATAATAGAGTCTATTCAACCGGCTTATCTAGATGAAGAATTCAATTACATGACAATCTATTCGGATATGGTTTCAATTTGCATTGCACAATATATATGCCTTTCAGAATTATAGAATCAGCGATGTCTCTTTGTCTTCCCCCAAGGCATTTCAAAGAGAGACCGGGGCCGGCTCCCGCACTTGATCGGCCCCGCGTCCACCGGCCTGCCGGACATTTGCGCAACATCGGCCTATGTCAACTACTTATAGAGGGAAGAACATGACGAAGAAACTCACTTGTTTTTTTAGAAAACATGGCTATATTCTTAAGGCGAGCTTCGCAACCTACTTCCAATTGTTGCTCATGTTCATGCTAGCATGTCTTCGACGTGCTCAAGGCTCACAACTTTAAACACTTGACACAAGTCTCGATTTCCTCGAGCAACCTACCCCTATCCTCGAAATTGTCATACTATTCTTGATAGAACTAAACAAGAAGCGGCATCTTTGACAGCCATTTCCAAGTTACACGTGATCCAACACCGCCAAACTGCCACAATGAGTCTCGAAACCTCTCTCCGTCCCTCACGATCGTCGTGCCGACCCCGTGATCCGCCCCGTCGTCTCAACTTCTCAACTCACGTGTTGACCTAGACGAGCGAGGCTCAGAATCACTTTTCGAATTCTTCAATAGCTGCATGACCGTTCGTCTGATATTGTTTGCTCGCTTAAAGGCGTCTAATGGGCGGCCTCTGAGTAGGCGGTCGAACGACCGAACAACCGCCCTCTCCCCCTTTTCCATATAAACCACCCCCCCCCCCCCCCCCCATCACCCACCCGTTACGATACTTTCACTCTTGTTTTCCTGACCATCATTTTCTTCACTCAAAACACTCTTACCAGTTTCATCGAATTCATTCTCTTCGTTCAGTCACGCCAGTATCTGGGATACTCCTTGACTAGCAAACACCCTTCACTTCTCTCTCCGCGGGCATCGTGACTCTTCGTCGTCCAGAGCAAACATCACGACCAGTCATCAGTCTCACAGCCTTGCGTGTCCCAAATTCGTCCGAACTCAAAGCCTTCATAGCTCCCAAAGATCCGTCGCAGAATACTGCTCAACAACTTCATCATGTCCGGCCCGTACAGCCAGTTCCTGGATCTCGACAACACCCGGGATCCGTACGCCTTCGAGGATCCAGACATCTTCCAGGACCCAATCCTCAACGACATGTCTCTCTTCGGACCTGATGAGTACCAGCAGTCATACAACCCTCAGTCGCAGTACCAGCAACCATACAACCCCCCTCAGTCGCAGTATCAGTCGCCATACACGAACAACTTCCAGCAGTCGAACTACCAGTCTCCATACAACAACAACCCCTACCAGCAACCCTTGAACAATAACGCCTGCATCCATCCTCCCCCTCCTCCCCAACAGACGCTCACCGAAACCGCAGAGCCCCTCTCCAAACGTCTCCGATCTCGTCACCCAAAGCCCATCCCCGTCCCCGCTCGCTCAACGACACCCGACGGTGAACCCCCCTACCACCTAACCCTCTTCTCCTCCCACAACCTCCCAGGCACAGTCTCCTCCCTCCTAACAGCCCACCTCCAAGTCCCCCTCTACACAACCCTCGAAGAGCGCACCCGCCGCGAGAACGAAATCAAGCACCTCTTCTCCGCCAACACAAACACAACTCTCCCCCCTCCCTCGCCGCGCGTGAAGAATCTCCCAGACCTCACCGACTCCTCCTCCTCGGCCACAAAGATCTACAAAATCCGCGCCGCCCCCTGCCCCCCCGAGATTACCTCCCTCCCCCCTCAACCCGACCTCGGCAAATTCATCAAAATCGACGATTCTCTCGGCCCCAAAGACGACCCCCGGCGCATACAGGCAATGGACTACAACAACCACCTGGCAGCCTTGCGCCTCCGCAACCTCAAGAACCGCAACAACGTCGCCGCGATGCGCAGCCGGAACCGGCGTGACAGGGCAGCGGTGCTCCGCGCCGAGGAGGCGAGCTTCGCGAAGGCGGAGTGTCGGTACTGGAAGGCCAAGGCTATCGCTGCTGGCGCGGACCCAAAGGGTTGGGAGTATTTGCCGGATGTGGCCAAGGAGGCCGTCGCTGCGGATTACCGTATTGACGCGTTGGATTTCTTCCAGGATGTGGGCGAGGTTGCGCCTGCTACGCCCAAGAAGGTCCTCAAGAGAAAGCGTTGAAGAAGGAAGGTCGAAGGGGGAGTAAATCGTTGAGAGAGAAGATTGTGATTTTGCTCCGGTGGGTGCTGTTGGATTATGAATGGACAAGGAACGAGGTTGCGTGGTTTGACTTTTCTTGAGAGGACTCCTTGTCATTGCTTTGCTCCCCTTTGCGAGTTTTGCACCAGCAGGGGGAATCTCCTTTCGGGGGCTTTTTGACAGAATATTGTATTTGCAAACACCGCGGGAGTTTGATACCCAGTTCTAGGCGTTTACCTGTTTGTTTCCTGCGTAGCTCTCCACTCAATACTATAACTTCAAATGAACCTTATAGTGACACCTAAAATATTCTTGACTTGAACAACTGGTCTCACTTGTTGACCTTGTGTAGGAGCGTTCAATCACACGGCTGTATCGAACAAGAGTCATGTAAGGAATTGAGGATTTTTGAGATAATGTTGCTATTGGCTCTGGGGCAGTGTAAGAGTCGGCTTTAATGTAGGCTGCCATACATGAAAAGCCTTCCCGTGGTCTCGTGAGAGTATCAACCACAAATAGGAAGGAGGCCAGGCGCACGTAGTGTCCAAGGCATGAAGCGTGTTTGCTAGGGAGTATCTCTTCAAGCAGCATTTCAGTAACCCAGCTGGAAGTGGAAATTCAGACGGAAGGCTGGGGGGTAAGACAGACACATCACGTTCAGACTCGCAATTGTAGGAGTTCACGCAAAAATAAAATTAGCTACTAATTATAGCCAGTGGTATCTCATCAAACCATTCAAAGACCAGATCATGACTCTCCCTCCAGAACCATCTGAGAGGATTCCGGCCGCGTCGATGTTTCCATCTAAACCAAAGAACTCCGTTCATTATCAAGTCCAGATCCAGCTCAAAGATTATCGCGAATTCTCCCCTTCCCGAGTCTGTTCAGATGGAACACCATCACCTCACGCTTGTGACACTTGCAGTCTGTGGAGCTCACGGCTCGTGAACGGAAGGCTGAGACCGCGACTTGCTCTCAGCTTTGATGCTCCCCATCTCCGACCCATGGCCCGTAGACACCCCATAGCAATCCGGGTCAGAAAGGCATCCCTTGATGTAATAAAACAACACAATCGTCATCAAGACCCTGAACGCATCTCGTTAGCAACTACATCACAATCCCACAGCCGAGAACATGAAAAAACGAGGAACATACCAGTTCACAGCACCGACGGCAGCAGCACCGGCCATACTACCCCCATAGCGCTTCTCCTCCGTAGTCGGCCCAAAGCACGTCCCCTGCACGCACGTATCACCCAGGAACAAGGCCGCGATGCTCGCAGACCACGCCCAGCCTGACAGCCAAAACAGGCAGTTCGTGCCGTAGCCGATGAGTACGGCGATGCGGAAGTAGAGGTGCGCCGCGAAACGCTCGAGGATCATGGCGCCGCCTAGGACGAGGAGCGTGAAGAGAGACTAAACCCGGGTGCGGTCAGTAAAGTGACATTACTTTTTGACATGCCTGGTCGCTGGGGCTGAGGATGAATAGCCGAAGGGTGAAAAGGCCCGGATCAGACGTACGACGAAGAGCATGAAGCCCGGCGGCCCGGTATAGCTGCTCGAGTAGGCGCCCAGCAGCGACAGGCAGTACGCGCACGCGGCGAGCACGGCGAGAGAGAGGACCAGGACGGCGACGCGGACGATGGAGAAGAGGGCTGGTGTTGGCGGGGCGCCTTTGCCCATGAGGCCTCTGATGTTGTTTGCGCCCGTCATTTTTGCGTTTCGATTTCTTAGTACCGTCTTCCTGAGTTTCTGACTCCCTTGTTTCTAGGTAAGGTAACCCGGTGTGTTGGCTGCGGTATGGTTTGAATGCTTCGTGATAGCTTCACTTGTGCGGCTCTTCAGATTGGGTAGGTATAAGGCACTTTAGGTATTAAGCACTCAAAACGTCGAAGCCAGCAAAAAACAGACACAAGCGAACGTGGATAGGATACACCAAACGACCAAGTGGACGGTTCATAACCACGCGCGCACCAAGGGGGAACATCCGTTTCCTTATACCTCCTCTCTCTCCAGCAAGCCCACGTAATAAAGGAGGTGTTCAAACTGCCTCCTTCAAACACGCCCAGTCCGTGGTCTTGCATGACAACGGCCCCAACCATATGAGATTTGATCCAAGATCCAAACAAGCCTGCAAGGCCTGCGCCACACAAAAAATACAGAGACCACAGACAGACACCCAGCGCAATAACGACTGGAGAACCCAACCTAAGAACAGGGAAAGTCTGATCACAGTCGGCTGAACGACGCTCGGTTGCGGTCCTCGACCACCATCACACTGGCACACCTGTGGATAGAGGACCAGAATGACGGATGATCGACAGATGGAAAACGCACTTAAAAAAAAAAAGGGGATGCATCGATGCATAAACCACCTTCATTCCCAACATGCAGGGGCCTCTCCAGCTTTTGCAGCATATAATTGGCTGACACGGCTGGTTCCTGATTTATGCTCCTTTCGTCCACCCCAGTCATCGCGGCAGTGCAAAAGCCCAGACACCACCACCAACAAGCACACGCTCGTCGATCACTGAGCCGGGATGAGAGCCGGGAGCCGGCAGGAGCGATCCAGTGGTGGGGGTGAAGCCAGCTGCGACTTGGGGATCCCATTTTCCTCCCCCTCCTATTAACTGTATTGACCTCTTCGGAGGCGGCGAGAACGATTGGAGTTAAACAGGCTTACACGAGTTTCAAATACTCACCAGCCAGGGTTCCTCGTCGCGGAATTCAATGCAAAGAGACCCAGTTGGCCCCTATTTTGAACCAACCCCTCATAACCCAGCAAGAGATCCAACAAGAAGAGAACATGGTCTTTGTTCGGCCCATGTGTGAAATGTTTCTCCCGTCAACGTACCGTCAATCCCAAAAGAAAGCGACAGAAAAACAAAACATCTTCACATCAGACGAACCTCCCACCTCTTAAAGAACTTCACGGTCTCAGGTGGGACAAGATGGAAACAAGAAACGCAGAGCAGCACAGGCAAACGCTGAAACAAAAAGAACGCGCAAGCTGAAGGTGCACCACTTCCTTTGCTGAACACTGAACAGCACTTCGTCGCATCTGTTCATTCCTTTCTTTTGATTCTACACGTATCGTTCAAAGATAAACCCACCAACGCGTCAAACACCAGACGCTGCACGTCTAAGCCCGTCTCCTGCCTCACCATCGTGCCGCCCACCACCCTCTGAAAACCTGCGACGACTCAGCCCTTGGTCAGAGACCTTCTGAACTGTCCCAGCGCCAACGCAGTCGCGATTACCATAGTACCAACAGCACGTGAAACCCAAACTCCATCCCTTTACCAGAATAGCATCTCCTCAATTCTCAACTGCCAACATCATTACCACTATTGCCATCACAGTCAGATTCCGTCTCTCCTTTTGACCCCCTTGTGCATGCCAATCCAACAGTCGCTCGTTCTCAGTGCAGTGATGTGACTGCTGCACCCCCACCTCACCAGTTCGTCCCATTTCATCAGACTGGCCATGTAACGAAACCAGGATCATGTTGCATTCCTGGCATCCTGATCGCCGCTTTTCGCCCGAACAGGTGGGAAAGGGAGTCACACAACCTGATAAGCGTGTACATGGCGGGGTAAAACTTGTGTCTGCTACCCAAGGTACTCGGAAAAAGATGATGTTGGTTGGGTTGATGTCACGTCAAAGGCCGCACCTGGCATCAAATCACGTACACGATTCAAATGGTTGATACAGATTCTATTGTGGCATCGAGGAACTAGCTTCTATCGTTGTTGCGCCGTTCCCAACATGTGCATTAACTCGTCAATTCATCCGACGATGATGATCATGCGACTACACTCCTCCCAAAGTGTACCCGCAGTCTATACTCCCAGGCTTGTATGATGTCAAAAACGACCAAAGTGAACAAGCAAGATCCCATGCCTGCCTATATCCCATGAACTAGAAATGCATTGTACAGTCTACCCGCTTTTTAAAAGTTTGCAACAGCCACCGCAATCGCCTGCGTCTCAGAGTGTGAGATGGAGACGCTAATGTCTGAAAGGCCAACCTTCTTGGCAGCAGCAGCAGCTTCGCCGTGGAGCTATCATCAAATTAGTAAACAGTCTCAAGAGTAAAGTGTATGCTGAGTGAAGCTTACCTTGACAGTAGGGGCGCCAGACTCGTCCTTGGCAATCTCAATATCCTTCAGCGGCGCACCGGCACCCTTGCTGGAGACGCCAAGAGACTTGAAGACGGCCTCCTTTGCGCTCCACCGGCCAGCGAACGAGCTCTGAGGGCTGGGCGCGGACTGGCAGTACTGGATCTCACCGGCGGTGAAGTTGCGCTCAATAAACGTCTCGTTCTCAATGTTGATGGCGGAGATTTCCTCAACGTCAACACCAACGTTGCTGTTCTTGTTGGCGACCTTCTTGGCCAGACCCTCCATCATGTCCTGGGTGGCCTTGGCCGCCGTGGAGGTGACAGTCTTCTCAGACGCCTTCATGAAGTTGGAGGGGTAAGAGATGGTGGAGGTCTTCTTGTCCTCGGTGACACGAGCATCGGGGTTCAGAAGAACCTTGCTGAGCTGCTCGTCGGTGTAAGGAGCGTTGGACTTGGGCACGAAGAGCGTGTTGTTGACCAGGCCCTTGTGGAAGAAGCTGTAAGCCTTCTTCTGGCGAGCGTTGACCTTGGCGGAGTACTCCTCGTACGTCTTCTCGTCAAGGGTGGCGAAGAGGTACTTGGGGTGCACACCAATGGCCTGGGCACCCTTCTGACCGAAACCGAAAGAGGTGACGGAGAAGGCCTTGATACCATCGGTCTGGATGGTGCGGCTGGGGTAGACAATCATGTCGAACTGCTCCATGATGGGGTCGACGTTGTCGGCGTTGCGGTTGCCCGGGACCAAACCGGTGTTGAGCACCTGCAAGCAGCCGTTCATCATCCAGGCACCGGCGGCACCCTTGGGGTGACCAGTAAGGTACTTCTGGAAGATACCCATGACGGCGTTACCCTTCTTGCGGCCAAGGTGGCGGAGCTGCTGGCAGATGACAGAAGACTCGTTCTTGTCGTTGGCCTTGGTGGAAGTACCGTGGAAAGAGGCGACCTCGAGGTCGTCGATGGTGAGACCCCAGGTAGCGAGGGCGCCACGAAGAGGAGCAATCTCCGGGTTGTTCTTCCAGAAGTTGTTGCCGAGGCTGCGGAGAACATCCTTCTCCTGGCGTTCGGCCTCCCTCTTGATGTGCTCGGCACGGTCGTGAGCGTACTCCTTCTCGTTGACCTCCTGGCCCTGAGCCTTGATAGCCTCGACCTCATCGTAGAGGTACTCGAGCTCAGACTCCTGCCACTGCTTGATCTGCTTCTTGCGAAGCTCGATCTGGCGGCGACGGTAGTTGATGTCGAGCAGAGGCGAAGGGAACTTGCCGGCGTGCTCGCGAGCAGTGGTCAAGACACCCTGGCCAGGAGCGGGAACGGATCGGCCAATCTTGTCGGTAGCAGTGGTAGTCAAGGCCAGAATACCGTGGATGGGCATGCCCATGTCAAGGGCGAGCTTGGCGGTCATGATAAGCTGGACACCGCAACCCTGGGACTCCATGAATCCGTTACGGGTGGTGGTGGTGGGACGCGACATCTCGGCGGGGGTACGGCCGTGGGCAAGCTCATCGACGGCGTTGCTGGTGGCCTTCATGTTGGCGAACTCGTAAGAGCCCTCCTCACCGAAGTCATCGAAACCACCGACGAAGACGATACGAGCCTTGCCCTCCATGATGGTCTCGTAACCAATGTCGACGGACTCGACAGCGGTGGCGCAAGCACCGACAGGGGTCTTGATGGGACCGGAGGAAGAGATCAACAACATGTTGACCCAGGCGGCCATGGTGTTGATGAAAGACTCCTGGAGAATGTCGTTCTGGACGGGCTTGTCGAGGTAGCGGTCTCTGTGCATGCCACGGAGAGCGCCAGCACCACCCATACCGGATCCGATACAGTTGCCCACCTCGGAGACGTGGACATACTTGTAGAACTCGTAGGGGTCGGTGATACCGGCCGACAACAGAGTCTCGGCAACGGAAACAAGGACGAAAAGGGTGACTGGGTCGACCTGGGAGACAATGTCCTCAGGAACACCGTATCTCTTGGCGTCCCAGCCGGTGGGAATCTGTCCAGCGACGAGTCTGTCGAAGCGAAGAGCCTTGGGGATCAAGAGAGCAGCTCCCTTCTTCATGCGGACAATGTACTCGCCAGACTCGGGGATCTCAAAGATCTCGACCTTATCGCCGTGCTCGCGCTTGAACTCCTCGGCAGTCTCCTTGGACGCCTCGAAGGGCTCGAGGTCCTCCTCGATGACAACCTCGTGAAGAAGCTGCTTCTGCTCGGGGTCGTAGCCGCCGAAGAGCTCAGGCTCAATGAGACGAATACCCGAGTGCTCGAGGATGTACTTCTCGTACTTCTGCTTGATGTCCTTGTCATCGACGGGCTCGCCAGTCTTGGCGTCGACCCAGCCGGAGTAGGGAGCAGGCTTGCCCTTGATGGGACCGTTGTGGTTCTTGATCAGACCCATAATCCAGGCCATCTCAACGCAACCCTCGAGAGAGAACTCGCCGTGAGCCTCCATCTCCCAACGGGTACGGGAGTTACCCCAAGGACCGACCTCGGCGAAACCGGTGACGACAACGACCTTCTCCAAGTCAACCATGCCCTTGAGGCGGTCGTTGAGGGGAGCAATCTCCTCCTCCCAGTCGGGAAGGGTGGGG